CTCCTTAGCCCTCATCGCAAACGGGGAGACCAACTCAGAGATGCTCATCCCTACCCTCATGCGAACCCCCATGATGTCGAGGTGCCCGGAGTCCTCCAGTTCGACCCCGTCTAGTGTCATGCATCTTTCGGGAGGACTGGTCGGTGAGCAGTAGAGTTGGCACTTGGCCAGGTTGAGTCGAAGCCCGTACCTCAGTAGGACACCTTGAAGCTGAACAACCCGTTGCTTCAACCGAGGTAGGTCATGCGCCCAGATGACCCCGTCGTCCATATAAAGAACTTCCTCCTGGTCCAAGCCAGGGAAGACCCGCGGCTGGGCGCCCCAAGCATGCTCTGCGGCCGCCTCGGCCAAAGCCTGCTCAGCAATGTGACTAAAAAGGGCTGGGCTCTCTGGAGCGCCTTGCTTTATACCCACATTCATGGGCACACAACTGCTCCCCCACGGTGTCTGGAGGATGCCCTGAACCTCATTGAGGAGTCCCTGCCAGCAGGCGAACTCGGCTTCACACTTGACCATGGTATGTATCTTCGCTAGTAGGGGACCCCGGCTGACACTGTCGAAAGCCTTGCTGAGGTCCAGCTTCAACGCCACAAACCCTGTACCCCACTCTCTAGACAACTCCATCAATTTCCAGAGGGTGTAGACATAGTCCCCAGTTTGTCTACCTGGGGAGGCACATTGTGCCGGAGTAGTGGGATCGATGCCAGGTTTCAATCGCGTCAAGAGCATTTTAGAGAAGACCTTACTCACAGCAGAACCCATAGCAATTGGCCGTAGATCACGCGCAAGTTCCGGGTGAGCAACCTTGGGAAGCATAACGAGGACTGGCTGATTCCACTGATGAGGTATGTCCTGTGTAACCAAGATTCTGTTGTACCATTCCAAGAGGTGCGTGAACCCTCCCGGCACCTCTGCCACCTCAAGGAGCAGCTCCGAGCTGACCAAGTCTATTCCAACTGACTTACCTTTGCGAAGGTCCCCAAGGGCACTTCGAAGCTCCGCCGCCTCGAATGGGATGACATCACTAGACTTCGCAACCCCGGGGCCCGCCGGCCCGTGGTACACCTTGGCCAAGTGTTTGTGGACGACCTCATGTGGGTCCTGCTGTTGCACCTCTGCAAAATGATGTTCCCAGCCCTGGTGTCTACGAGGCTTGAGCTCCTTAAAGGTGCTCCAATCCCCTTCCGAAGCCCTGACCAATCGCTGGTACTCCCATGCTTTGCGTTCAGAAGCTCGGGCACGAAGAGCCACCTTCCAGCATTCTGCTGACCCTGACACCTTGGCCCTCTTGAACAAATCTTTTACCTTGGGCGAGTCTCGAAAGGAATTTCCTCGCTTGGGTCTCGTACATCGCCTGGCTAATCCCTCCATGATCCCCTGATCGAGCATGTCAATCTGCGATACCCCCCCGATCCATTCCCTCGGCCTGGTGACATGTCTCCGGCAGCGCGGCCTAGTGGGCAGTCCAACAAGACCGCAGACCAGCTCGTGATCCGTGCCTATGCTGTAGCATGAGTCCTCAAAGACGTTCCAATCAAAGACCCTGAGCTTACAGGAGGCCATCAGGTCCATTACCTGCCCCTGCCTGCCTTGCTGCCTGGGCCTGCTGGTGGCCACACGCATCTGTGCCCGCCGCGGGCAGCAGAGCTGGAGCCCCCTTTCCTGTAGCTTAGCCTGCACCAGCCCGCCCTTGCCCTCCTTAGCAACAGCGCCGATGTCGCCTCCGTCCTCCACCCAATTGAACCCGGTGTTGAGATCCCCTTGGAACAAGACTCGCTCGGCATTCTTGGGTAGGGCACCGAAGTAGTCGGCCACTTGTTCTTCATAGTGTGCCACGGGGATCCCTGGACTGAAGTGTGCCGTGCCGAACCAAAAGAGCTCTTCTGTCTCGAGGTGCTTCATCTTAAACCATGTACCCCTGCGAGCATATACACGTTTGCGAATACACCACACATCCGGATGGAAGAAAACCCCGGTCCCTCGCCACAAATGTTCTTCCCTGTGCGATACACATTGCCACCCTGAATCCAAGTCAACCGCCCATCCTGCCTTAGCCCGAGGCAATTCTTGCACGAGGATCAGATCTTTTTTCTGCAACTGACCGCCAACATCTTTGAGCGTTTGGCTGAAGTTCCCGATCTCGACACCTCCAACATTCCATCCAAAAACCCGGAAGGACAGCTGATCAACTTCATCTGAAACAGCCCCCTCCGGCTGGACCGAAGGCTGGGCAATGAACTCCGAAGGTACCTGATCAGGTTGCACAGTGCAGTGGGTGAGAAAGAAGTCATCCTCAAGGCCATCCTGTCAGCGTTTGCAGCTCTGCAGGGCATCCCTGACCTGCTGCACGCTGAACCCGAGCTCTGCCCCGGCTTTGGCGCAATCAACCCATGGTTGGAAATCCGAGTCCTCATTGACCACAACGGAGCGCATGTCAGTCCCTGGGGGAACCGGTTTGCTGGAACTGGAGATGAGGGAGTCACCACACCATACTGAGCCAGTTGACCACTCAACATCCAGCGTCGAGACCTTTTCCCCATCAAGCAACCCCACGGATCGCTTAACCCACGAAGCATGGGATCCATGAGCTCTTTCTTCCGGAGACTTGCTGTAGCTCGCCCACAATCTGCGTCCATTGGGCAGCTTCACCGTAGTATCCACAAAAGCCCTAAGAACTCGATGCATCCTGCCTCGCATGTCCCCATAGCTTTCTCCCTGCCGCTGGCAGAACATGGATAACGCTATCGAGCGGCGTGCCCCCGTGGTGAAGGGCGGCTCGTCAATGAGGTCCTTGACCGAGACTGAATCTAACGCCGCGGCCAGGTCATCAAGGATGCGCTGCCGCCGGGTCTCTCGATCCCACCCGCCATATACCAGGGTCCGGTGCCTCTTGTCCGTTGGTCCACCTTGGTTCTGGCGGCGCCCCCCCCCAGCATCACGAAGCTCTTGCATATGTTGCTCCAGGATCTTGACACGTTCCTCCATGGAGTCGGAAGCCGAGACCACTCGGTCCACACGGTCGTCGAGGCCGGCTATCTTCGCCTCCAGTCCCTGTTCTAACCTGCCCAAAGATGCGTCCAACTGGGTCTGTGTGGCACGCAAGAGTGTCCGAGTCTGTTCCTCCATCATTTGCTGCAGGAAGGCTGGAGTGATCGCCTGGTCAGACTCCCCCTTTCTGGCTTTCGCCGGACTACCCTGCTCGCTGTCCAGCCCATCGTTGTCTTCCGGAACCCGCTTGTCGCCGGCCCCTGGCAGCTGAACCTCTCTGCGCTTGTCACGAGGCGGAACCATGAGCCCCTTGCCGGCGCGCCCCTGTGGGTCCACTTCCATTTGGGTAAGGCGTTCTCCTGCAGGATCGTGCCACCGAGGAAGCCCCGGGGGAAGTGCTCCCGCCGATCAGTGCAATCTTGCGGTGAATCGCGTACTCGAACTCTTTCGTCGACCCGCTATGGCACTCCACACACACCACCTGGACACACACTTCCCGAGGCCCCCGCACACAACGACCTCGGCCTTGAGCCAAAATGGCTGCTTAGGGTTTTAGGGGGTTTCGGGTTTAGGGGTTTAGGGTTTAGGGTTTTAGGGGGTTTCGGGTTTAGGGGTTTAGGGTTTAGGCTTTAGGGTTTAGGGTTTAGGGTTTTAGGGGTTCAGGGTTTAGGGTTTAGGGGTTTAGGGGTTTAGGGGTTTAAGGGTGGATGGTATGGCGTTGCTCCTGGACCTCCTGGGTTGTTGTTCAGGCATTTGATTAGAAGTTGCCACGATAAGGATCTAGAAGCGTTCCTTTGAGGGATCTATAAGGGTTCCTTTAAGCGTTTGGAGTTTAGGGTCAAGTTACCACAATGAGGAAACCATACTATTTACTGTAGATCCGATTATGCTACCTTAAATATTAATGAAATCCCTTAACAAGAGTCCAGTCACTGGAGTCTCCACCGTAGGATGGATGGCCCCAGGTGATTACGGATCCATCTTCCAAAGTGGCTGCAAATGCGTTGATGGTAGCCTCGATCTGCAGCACATTCCTGAGCTGTCCCTCGACAGCGCTGCTGTCGCCGCCACGTTGCGGGTCTCCCCAAGTCACCACAGAGCCATCCCCAAGGAGGGCTGCAAACGACTTCGCGGCGGTTGTGGCAACTTTCGTCTGTCGAACTTGAAGGGTCAAGACATCCCCCGGTTTCAGGCCAGCTTCGTCAACGGTCTGTTCTACATCCAGGATGTCTCCCTTGGAATTCAGGAGGACTCCTTGCCCGATAGCTTGAAGATCGTTCTGTGCTTGCAAGCGGATGCACTTCAAAGATGAATCGCCGTTGACTGGAATCTGTGCCGTTCTTCCGCTCAGGAGGGTCACATACAGGCAGGCGGACGACATGAGAAAGACAAGCCCCACCAATCTACCTGTGTTGAAAACCGGGCTGAGAGAAGTGAAATGGCCGTCGCTAAGCCAGAGAGCCGTGTTCACCTGAATCAACAAATGTAGCTTAAACGGCTCAACACGGTGACTTGAGGTATAGTCCTTGAAAAAGGCATTGGGTTGCACGGGAGCATACTCCAGATCGCTTGAAGCCGTGAACGTCAAATCCAACGGCAGATAGTGAGGATAAGGAGATATTGGTACTCACTATTTCGACCCTACAGTACCTCTGTTACGACGACGGGATGGACGAAGACGACGATGGATACCCTTCGAACACGAACGTCTCCTTATCACCGTTCGGAAGGGAGGCCAAGCTTCTAGCTGCAATTTTCCTGAGAGCTTGAAATCCTGAAAACCTGAAGCGTAGCTCAGAAGCCGCCCCCACCCCGCAATAGTGACTACAAGGATTTTAGTAGGGCCCTATTATATTCCTATTCTACCACCATTGCAGGGTGGGGGCAACTTCTAAAGCGTAGCACCCTAAGCTCCAAAATACCCTCAACCCTTCAACCCTTAACACTAAACCCTCAACCACAGAAACCCTGAAGCCCTCCAATCTCGAACCATACCTGGCTGGGGGGCAGGCGGTGATTTAGGTACAGGCGGAGGCGGCCTCGACAGATGCAGTTTATTTCAACACATGGATGTGCACACAGACATATGCATGTGCATGTAGATATTCATATACATATGCATATACGTATACATACACATGTACACGTACATCTAAATATGTGTATATATACATATATATATATATATATATATATATACATATATATATATATATACATATTCAAGGGTGCGCCCCCGACGTTTGCCCACACTTACGTGCGGCAAAGTGTCGGGGGGCACGGCAGGGTGCAGTTAATCGTTGTTTGCGGGCTGGGGTAAGTTTAGTCAGGGAACTGCAAAGTTCTGAACATGGAAGTGCAGGAAATGCCGGCAGGGCCAGCAAAGTCGGTCGTTCTACTTTTCTGTTTTCAGGGTGCCTGAGCGTCCAAGAAGGAGGTTTGCTCCCAGAGATCCTTCGGCGACACACTGTCTTGGTAAAAGTTCTGATACGCCGCCACAGCTGCAGCTATCTTTTCAAACCCCTGGTGCTCTTGCAAAAAGCGAGAGCTTAGCCCATCGATGTGGCACCGAGAGCTTTTTGAGTTACTTCGGCCAAGCATGTTGCATCGCCGCAGCATCCGCTTCAAAGATGCCACTTGGCTCTCACATCGCTGATCGCCACCGACCATGGTGACCGAACTGCGATTCACGTTGGCTCTGCTGCACGCCTTGAGGGACTTCAAAGCTTGCCGTGGTATCAACGATGTTTTGAGCTTGACGACGGGCGTGTAGTGAGCCTTGCCATGGCAAGCCGTTGCCGCCTGCACGTTGACGGTTCGCCAAGCTTTGGCGAGACCTTTCGACTGGTCGCTGCCCACCACGTGCTTGTAGGGGCAGAGTTTCTTCTTGACCCAAGGCAGCACTTCTGCGGTACTCTCCGGCGGGCCTGGCGGGCGGAGTTGTGGAGAGTTGTTTTGGGGGATGAGGAGAGTCTTGTGACTAGGTTGTCTAGATGAGCACGTTGGTTTTGGTGTTGGGTTAGGGCATGTGCTTGAAGCTTTGGGGGTCCGAGAGTCGGAGCTAGGGGGCACTAGTACAGGCACAGGGAGGCTTGTTGGGCCTTTTTCTTTGTGTTGTTAACATGACACAAGACAGCCTCGGGAGTGACAGGCTAGACTGGATACACATGTGCAGGAACACTGTTTTTGCGTGTCTGCGTGGAGGGAAGCTCAGAGCTGCTCGCGCACAGTTGTGTCCAAGACTTGCGGCATACGCGAGTGTAGTGAAGCAGGCAAAAATGCAAGCTTTCTTTTTTTGCTCAGCGACGACTGGCAGGCTTGCGTGCGGATCCCCGGGACAACGCAAAGTCTACACAGCCGTAGGAAGACTTTAAATCGTCCGGCAATTTATGGAAGAGCCCCCAAGGGAAGGGATATGCATAAAAGCATTTCTTGTGGTGGTCCCCCCCGCGACGCCAAAAGGCAGCGCACCGGAGGACCAGTTGCCCTCTGTTAGCACCACTCTGTACGAGGTGCGGCTGCAAGCTCCTGCGCTCGTGGTGCGGGCAACCGCCCCATTTGAAGCGGGCCTGTTTCACGTGAGGGCAAGGCACCGAGCATCGCCGCAAGTCCTCCAGCTGAGCAGCCTCTTCGTTCAGCTGCTCAAAAATGTCAAGCGGGAAGCCTGCAGACTGCACCGACCCCGAGCTGCTGACGTCACCTTGGCTGTAATCCTGGATGGCATCCTGAGACGGAGAAGTGCCCAAATTGTCCAGCGAGTGCGAAGTGTGCTCTTCCATATCGTCCACAGACGAGGACGAAGGCTCCTCCACGGAATCCTCATCATCACTGCGGTCTTTCCCCTCGGCTTCAAGGCATCGACAGCGTCGCCTCTCCTCTGTCGTCAGTGGCGACAGGAAGATGTCGTCGATGCCAGCTGTGCCACGAGTGAGCAGGCGACGCACTGCAGGAGAGCGAGAGCGAGCCATGGCAACAGCAGAAGCGAGAACCCCCCAAGGAAGCAGTCGAGCAGTGCAAAGTTCTGGCAAAACCAACACCGGTAGTTCCTGCGAAGTGAAAGCCTCCCCTGAAAGTTTCGAACTACAAGGACATAGCACTTGAACACACATGTGCAACTGGAAGAAAGCACGTGAAGACATGTGCAACTGGAAGTGGATGCGCTCGACCAAGAAATGAACCTGCAGAACGAAAAGTGTGGGCAAACGCCGGGGGCGGACCCATATTCAAGTATCTAGGTATGCATGTATGTATGTATGTATGTATGCACATATGCACGTCTGCATGTGTGCATGTATCATGTATGCATGGATGCATGCATTCACGCATGCATATATGCATACATACATGTGTGTATAGGCACATATATGTGTGTACACATATACATGTGTATAGACATACATACAGTAATAAAAGCCAAGGAGCTGACTTTCTGTAGTGTTGTGTGGGGAGGGTGCCGCTGAGAGCGTTGCGACTTTGGGGTATGGTTCGGAGGTTGGGGTTCAGCTGAGGGCTTGAGGCATAAGGGGTTCGGGGCTTTGGGCTTACGCCTTAGGGCCATGGGATTCAACCCTACGCTACTAGGCCCCCCTCATCCTTCACATAGGGGGCTTTGGGGCCTTGGGACACTAGCCGAAGAATTCTGCGGGCTTTGGGGTGTATTAGACATTAAATAAATAGGGATCAGGGACGATAACCACAACTATGCAGAGCCCCATATTCGGAGCGAGCCCTTGAAACTAACAAGTTTAGTCCGAAACCATGAAGCACCCAAACCAACCAATGCCCGTGAGGCTTAAATGTTGGATTTTGGGGGTTTGCCCAAGAACCTAAGCCTTGGATCCCTGAACTCTCAGACCTGACCCAAAACCCAAAGCCCCGAACCCTTCGTGCCGAAACCCTCCCAGTTCTACCCTCATCTGTGGCTCCCCCACGGTGGTGGCAAGTAGCCGCATTTTGGCGGGGGCGCGGATCTCCCCTGCACTTTGAAGGGTTTAGGCTGGGGTTCAGACTGTTGGAGTTTGGGGTTTAGGGTATTGTGGTTTAGGCTGTTGGCTCTTAAGTAAGGCGTAGGGTTGAGAGTTTAGCGCGTTGGGGTTTAGGGCTTTGTTAAGGTCTACAGTTTAGGGCTTTGGGGTTTGGAACTAGGCTTTCAGGGTTTGGGGTATTGGGTTTACGGCTTTGGGATTTAGTTCAAACCCGCTGCAGAAGAACCTTAAAGAAGTGTTTGCAGCAGACCTTGGCCAACCCAGTGTACACCGGTCTAAACACGTGATATTATTACACCGTCTATAGAACCCTATACAACCTTCATGTAAGAAAAGCAACGACAACATTATTTCAACCCATACAACCCTGTCAACAACGCAAGCGAATCAAAAAGACGCGCTGTAAAACCAATAGACTCTTAAACCCTAAGCCCTTACGCCCAAACGCCAAAAGCTCCTACACCCTCACGAACCCTCAAGACCCGGGGAAACCCTAAACACTAAACCGCGCGAAGTCTCATTTTGGGAGGCCTTCGGCGGCTCTTTCGGCTCCGGAGGGGGCAGACTTGAGTCGATGGAAGGCCTGGAAACAGGAGGTGTTTCGGGTTTAGGAGGACTTAGGGTTTAAGGGTTTAGGATTTAGGGTTTAGGATTTAGGTTTTAGGATTTAGGGTTTAGGATTTAGGGTTTAGGATTTAGGGTTTAGGATTTAGGGTTTAGGATTTAGGGTTTAGGGATCTTTCATGGCCTCTTGGCAGGTGTTTTAACTCGGATTCGGGAGTTGAAGGCTTGAGTTTAGCCTGTTCAGGTTCTGCTGGCTTTCGGGATTTAGGCGGGTTAGGGGTTCAGGATGTCGATGGAAAGGAGTTTGGGTAGTTGCTGGTTCGTTTAGGTATTTCTGTGGATTGATGAGGTTTTGAAATGGCTTGCAGGGCCCTTGGGGCTTGAAAGCAACCGTCTACGCGGACTTCATACGGCCGTACAATATTCTTTTTCAGTGATGGAATTGGGTCTTAAAGGAGTTTTGGGTGCACTTTTCGCTCTTACGGGTTCGGGGCTTTGTAAGGCACGGTAAGGTCAGGATTCAGATTTTGGCATGTTGAAACCCTAAACCCTCAACCCTAAACTCTAAACCGTGTGCGCTAAGCACTCAGAACTCAAAACCCTCAGCCCTATACTGCGGGTTTCCGACAATAGGGGACCTTAATATAGTACCCTAACTAATAGGATCCTTATTATAAGGTCGCCAGGTACCCGAAATTTTCGGAAACTCCCGACTGGTCAGTGCATTTAAAGTGGCCACCAAAAGGCCGAGGAGATTCCAACCCGACTCTGCAAGTCACACTCTGGCTTTTGAGGGTATAGAGTGTAGGTTTTGTGGTTCAGGGGTTTAAGGGTTTAGGTTTTTTTGAGGGTATAGAGTGTAGGGTTTGTGGTGTAGGGGGGTTTGGGGGTTTAGGGGTTGGGGTTTAGCTAGGGCTCTGGGATATGAATGACTCGTCATCTTACTCCCCTTGCAGTCTCTATATACGATTATACTCTGATATACGCCAAAACCCTACACTAGTCATGCTTGGTTCTTTGCTGGCGAAGGCTCCACTACACCTGTTTTGCACATCCGATGCGTAACTGGAATCTTGGGGTGTGGCACGACATAGCTTATTTAGGGTTCAAGGCCCAGAGTTTAGGGCTAAGTTGGGGAGTAGGGTTCAGGAAGGATTTACAGACGAAGCCCAAAAGTTGGAAACCCAATAGCCTCAATCTTTAAGAGTAATGCACAGGGAATCCCAGCACTACTTGGCGTTAATCCGGAGACCAACTTTATGGAGTTTACTGTAGAGTTTAGAGTTTCGGGTTTAGGGGTTCTATCAGAATTCTACTGGAGAGCCCACAGGGATACTTCATATGGGGAGCCCTCAGGGATACTGACTACTACGGTTTAGGGTTTAGGGTTGAGGGTTTAGGGTTTCGGGTTTCTTTTTTTAACACCTTTTTCCGCCTGCCCGAGACAGAATCCCAGCTATGGGGAAGGTGGTTTATGCCCTTCAGCCGGCAAATCCTCTTGACCGTGACCTCGACACTCTTCCGGATGTAGTGACCCTTCAGCACCCTCATTGTCTGCAGTCTCACATCCCTCCACAGAGAGCCCATCATGTTCACAGACCTGGTTGTCGGACCCGTCGATAGCCGTGACTGCCGTCTCCAACCCTCCTGCACCCTCATGTGTATCCCTGGCCTCGCGTTCGGCCCATGCTGTACTCGGCAGACCAATAACCACCACACGTTCGTCAAAGCCTGCCATCTCCAAGGTGGGTGGGGTCCCTGCTCCGAGGTGTTGCTGGGCCATCAACTCGAGCATACGTGGCCCAAAAGTTTCAAGAACTTGACCATCGCCAACCCAGCCATCCTTCCAAAGCCCATAGACCCTTTCGTATCTGGACCATTCCAGACACCCATGCTGCCCCACTGCACTCAACGGGTTCGGTGGCGTAGTACCAGGTCCTTGGGGTGTGTAGTCACTGCTCACGGCGAACTGGGCTTCGAAGGCATCGAGCAGCTCCGGACCGTACTTGTTCAGCACCTGCCTGGACACAGCCTGGGAGCCGACCCCCTCCGTCAAGCCAAGACCCAGAGTTGCCCTTAGACGGCCAAGAAGGATCCCCACATGAGTGCAGCATTGTCCCTTCGGTTGTTGAGCAAGTTCCTTTTGAAGGCGAACCAGGAGTCGAGCCCAGCGATGTTCCGCAGTGTCCTTGAGAACCTCCGAGAGAGAGGTCTGCATGAAGCCAGCGGTATCCTCAACTTCGACCAGGACCTCGTCACCTTCGCCTTCTTCGTTCAGGTCAACCATCTGGAGTGAGGCCTCATGGCACACCTCACCCATTTCAACCATGAGTGCTCGCAGGTAGCTGATGAGGGTTTAGGGTTTAGGGTTTAGGGATACTGACTACTACTAATACTCCGACTGGTGCTTCCCGACGGAAACATGTCCAAGACCTTCGAATCTTCTGGGTGTTGCGAGGTTTGGGATTACCCTCAACTCAACCTTGAACCCGAAAACTCCTAGAACCTGGGAGCTGCAAAATGGGAACAACCCTCTGGAAATCCCTTAATCTACAGAAAAGAAGCCCTAAGCCGTAACCCTAGACCCTAACGGGCCCGAGCCTGCTCTTTGGAGCTGTAGGCATCTTCTTCGCCGAAGGAATCTTTGGCGTCGCTGGCCTCTGGCAGCGTGCCACCAAAAGCGCGTGGGGCTTGGGGCTTCAGTTTCCGTGTTCACAATATGGGCTTACTTGGAGGATCATACGGTTATAAGTACATTTATTGGGGCTACATGTAGTCATAAGTTTAGCTACCTTACTTACCACCCTAGTTACTAAGTCCCATGATCCCTTAAGCAGGGCTTAGCATCAAGCTCCGAAACACAAGCAAGACTGGAGCTGAAGAGGCCCATGGGCCTTTACGCCTAAGCCCTTCGAGAGCGCAGCAACCAAACAGAAGAGTTAGAGGGGAGACAGCGGCAGTTGAAGATATCAGAAAAAGCTCATACCGATGCCTACACATGAAATCGGGCATGGTGCATACTCCGATCTGGTAGCTGCAACACATGACTAGCAAGTGAAACAGCCAAACTAGGCCGCCGGCAAGCCCTTTGCCTTCCGCTTCTCGTTCAAAGCCGCCTTGGAAACCGACGGGGCCGAGGGGAGACGAGAGAGAGAATGGTCCGAGCCTCATAAAGTTGCCATATATTTTGGGAGCTGCCCTCACCCTGGAATAGTGACCATAAGGATTATATTTGGGATGATTAGGGCCCTACTATATTCCTATTATACCACTATTACAGGGTGGGGGCCCCTTCTAACATATATTCGGCACCACACAGTGCACAAGACCGAAGACAAAGAAAGATAAAAGGGATTGCGAGTTGCAGACCCCGCAGCAAAGAAGGCAAAGAAAGGAGAAGACATGATGGCTTTACCCTGAACCCTATATAAACCCATAAACCCCTAAACCCATAAACCCATAAACCCTGAACCCGTAAACCCAGAACCCCAACAACCCTAAACCCTCAACCCCAAAACCCCGAATCTTGAAAGCCCTGGGGCGCTTGTACAGGCCCTCCCGAGGCACCTAAACCTGCACCCTTCAAGCTCGTCGCACCAAACCCCCGAACCCCAGACGCCCTGACCCGTAAACCCTACAAGCCCCAAACCCTGAACCCTGAAGCACAAGCCTACGCCCCAAAGCTCTAAGCCAAACTCAATGGCCCGAAAATCTCCAAAATCCCCAAGCCCCCAGAGCATCCAGACCGAAATCAAAAAGAACTTCCCCCGACAGTTTACAGTTAGGGTCTAGCGTTTAGGGTTTGCAGGATTTGCCGTAAGTCAAGCTATTGAGGGCTACTTAAAAGGCTTTGGAGTCTTTGAGAATCCTCCGGAGCACCCGGCCAACTCCACTTGCGCCTTGGGATCCGCCTGCTTTGGCGAATCGGTCGGGGCAGACCTGTGGAGTGGAGGTTGTAGGCTTGGGAATTCAGGGTTTTGGGCCTGTGGTTTTGGAGTTTATGGGTTTAGGATTTTTTTTTTGAGGGCTCTTTTCCGACTTGGGTTTAGGGTTTAGGGTTTTAGGACATATGGGCTTGGGCCTTACTGATAGGGCTTAGAGGCTTGGAAGTTCATGGTTCACCTGCGACCCCGTAAACCCAACCTTTCCAGGACGTGTGTAAGCTTTCGGCGCACCCTACTTGGAGGATCATGGGACTTAGTAACTAGGGTTATAATTAAGGTAACTATACTTATAACTACTTATAACCCCAATTAAGGTACTTATAACCTTACTTACTAAGTCCCATGATCCTCCAAGTAAACCCCATTCAACATGGAGGCGTCTGAGGGTACGGGTGGCGCCTCCGGTGCCGGCATTTTGCAACAAGTTGAATTTTGAGTTCTGGGGTTTAGGGCTTATGGCTTTGGATTTAGGCTGTTGGACTGAGTGCTTCAGGCTTAAGGGTTTGCAGGTTTAGGGGTGGAGTCGCCCCAAAGAACTGCGAACGGAGGTTTGGGGTATACTATACCAAAGTCATAATAAGGAGCCCCCAAAATAGTGTAGGTAGTTCTTGGGGAGCCTATATGGGAGTTTACCCCAAAAGAGTAGCCTAAATATTAGGATCTTTATTATAAGGACCCAAAAGCAAGGTACCCCTAATTTTCGGAAACTCCCATTTTCGGGCTTAGGGGAGGCAGCTTTGGCCCAAAGCCTTGCGAAGGAGACCTGCAACCTGTGTCGCGCACCGGTAATCGGAGTACATGGGGGTGGTGGTCAAAATTAGGGTCACTGTTTGGGTCCCCCTTTTAATACGGCACCTAAAATTACCCAAAAAGGGACCCTAATTTTGACAACCACCCGTAGGCTTTACGAGACCAGGGAATAGGCGCCGATAATCAAGTAACAATCACGACCGTGGCTTGGCGGCGGCTCAGCACTAAATCATCGCACAACCATAGTTTTCCGCCTGGTATCACGGCCTCAGTGTAATGACCCGATCTCGGAGTGAGGCCGTAGCTTGTCAGACGCAGCCCTGAAGACACGGGTCGCTTTGTGCTCTGCGTCCAATCGTGGAGGCATCGTCTGTCAAATGCTCACCGGATGCACCTAGTTTAGGGCTAATGTAGGTTTTAGGGTATAGGGTTTGGGTTATAGGGTTTCTGGTGTAGGGGCTAATTTAGGTTTTAGGGTTCAGGGTCCAGGGTTCAGGGGTATGAACCTTGCAACATGCTGGCCAACCAGAAGCAGCACACAAAACTATGCTTGCTATTCGAAGGGAATTCCCAGAATGCTAAAGCAGTGTGCAAACGCTGCAGCCCAATTTCTTGAAAGGTGACTGGACCAAAGGCCCAAAAAACCGAAGCAAATTCCAAAGCTCAGCAACCATGACCCCGAACCCTACTCACCCTTCAGTCCAAAGCCAGAAACATCCATGCCACCAGTCAACCCATCCCTCTGACTGCCAAGCAAGGATGCACAGCTGGGGAAACGGCTTGGGTAGAATAAGTCTCCTTTTCGGAGAAGGGGTCGTCAAAGACCTGCGATGGTTTCGGGTTTGGAGCTTTGGGCTGTTTAGGGTTTAGGGGTTTAGGGGTTAAGGGGTTTAGGGTTTAGGGTTCGAGAGGCTTGGACCCAGAGCGCGCAAGGACCCAGGGGGTCTCGGAGGAGACTGTCCCCATCTTGCGCAATTCTCGTGCTGGCGCACTGACGGGTTTGAAGACACAGCAGCCGAGCTGCTTGGAGGATCGGGGAACTTAATAAGTAAGGTGTGAGTTCCTTAATTGGGGTTATAAGTAACTATAAAATTGGTGCCTTACCTACAACCCTGGTTACTAAGTGCTTAGGGTTTAGGGCTAGGGTTTAAGGTTCAGGGTTTGGGGGTAGGGTTTACGGTTTAAGGTTCAGGGCTCAGGGTTTAGGGTTAGGGGTTTACGGTTTAGGGTTCAGGGTCTAGGGCTTTTGAATCCTGACCCTAGGATTTGTCTCCTCATGATCCCCGATCTATGGCAGGCCTTACCTTAACCTACCAAAAGCTACTTTTTTGGTGGGTTCATACTATAAACCCTAACATAAATGTCATAGAGCCCTAAGCCCTAAACCCTAAACCCTAAACCCTAAACCCTAAACCGTGATAGGGACCCCGCACAAAAAATGAGGTTCCGCTGGGTTAAGGTATCCCTGCAAGACTATGGGTCCCAAGTGTCTGCGTTTGCAGTCCCGAACCCCTGCCTCGAACTCTCGATCGCACTGTACGCCTCGAATTACGACCCTAAACCCTAAACTTCTAAACCCTAAACCTTAAACTTTAAACCCGAAAGTCCAAATCCTAAGCCCTAAAGACCTAACCAAGCTGCCCCCCACCAGAGGCCCTGGTCCCCCAAACCAAAAGCGGACGAAGTCAGACAGCACAAACCCGAAAGCTGATCCACGACATCTTTTTTGAGCTTTTCCACTCGGAGGTTATAGGGGAGTTTCCGAAAATTAAGGGTCCTCACAAAAGGGATCCTACTATTTAGGATACTATATTAGGGTCCCCTACTTTCGGAAACCCCAATATATTGTAGCTTAGGGCTCATGGTGTAGTTCGTGGTTTCGGGCTCTGGGTTTGGGGCTTTACGCCTGATCGGGTCGGAGTCACGGCCCGGAATGCCTCTGACCCCGAAACCTTGCAGGACGGTTGTGAGTTTAGGGTTGGGGGGTTAGGGTTGAGGGTTTAGCGTTTAGGGTTGAGGGTTGTCCAGGCTGTCAGGTTCTACGACGTCGGACTGTTCTAAGATTTATCGATACGATAAAGAGTTCAGGGTTAAGGGTTCATTGACGGTAGATAGCTTTAGCGAAGTTGGGTTTAGTCTATGGCAAGTAGATCGATTTTGGGGCTTTTGTAGGTTTAGGGTGGCAAGCAAGAATAGTGTACCAGTATCTCCTTACAGTCCACACTTGCTTATTCTCTGCTATGCACCAGCCAAACCCTAGCGCAGATACTATTGCCCTAGAGTACTTAAAGGATCGTGGGCCGCAAACAAGCGCGAAAGCCCTAAGCATGAAACGCTGGGCTGCCGAGCGAAGCAGTGCTTGCTTTCCGCTTCAGGGCTGGCCTCAACATGATTATGAGGCTTTTGGGTTTAGGGTCTCGAAACCTCGAATTTAGGGTTTATTAAGGTGCAGTAAACATGATCATTTAGGGCGAAACCTCGAAATTAGGGCTTATTAGGGTGCAGTAGGCAACAGACTCGCCTTTCTAGACACATGCAAATGATCTCAGAACTCAGGCTTTAGGATTAAGGGTTAGCGAAATATCGAAACCTAGAGCTTAGGGTGTGTTAGGTAGCATCGAAACATGACTAGCCCTATACGATGCAGCAACCCAGATGCCATGGGCTTTGAGCTTTCAGAGTTTTCTAAGGCTCAGGGTTTAGGGTTTAGGGCTGTTAGGGTTGTAGGGTCCAGGATCTGCGCTAGGAATCTAGTGTTCAGCGTTGGGACCTGGATTTTCGCGTGTAGCTGCAGGACCAGAATGTCCAAATGATGTTTGTTGGAACCTTGGCCCATTGGCCCAGGGCATGCGGGGCTTGATGGTTTAGGGGTTTAGGGGCTTAGGGTTTTAGGGGTTTAGGGGTTTTGGGGTTTAGGGGTTTAGGGGTTTAGGGCGGGCCGCGAAGTATAATTCGAGGCATTTTCCCCCTTAAGCCCCTCTTTGAGCCCCGAACTCAAGGAGTCTTGGAGTTCCGGGAAGTTATATCCAGAGTCCGAGAAGCTATCGGATGACAATAGACCCGAACAGACCTCAATCAAACCCTAAGCCCTGAACCCTAACCTCCAAAAAGCCTTCAAAACGCCCTAACAAGCTCTAACACCCCAATACCAAAAAAGGAATACAAAAAAGCAAAACAGGCCCCAAAAATCCCAACCAAACCCCACGACCTCAGAGAAATCCTACATATTTTTCAAACCCTGAGTAAGGTGTAGGATTTGGGGCTCAGGGTTTAAGATTTATGGTCCGCGGGATATCTAGGATATAGGTACAGGGTTGAGGGCTTGAGGTTGAAGGCATAGCGTAAACCTGGGCTCTGTTAAAGGATTTAATCTAAGATACCATGATAGGAATCTACGTATTTAAGTTAAAACCTTGAACAAGAACCCGGAAACCTCTGAACAAAATTCCACCCGCCTTGCCAGCACCTTAGGAGCCCTATCACCGAGCCGTGGAAGGAACCTTGGCCGCGACAGCCCATGTGATCCTAAATCCACACCATCTGCACCTACACCCTAAACTCTAAACACTAAACCCTAAACTCCAAACCCGGAACTCTAAGCCCTAAACCCTAAACTCTAAACCCTAAATCCTCTAAAGCCGAAATCCTAAACTCTAAACTCCAAGGCCTAGGGCCCTAACCCTAAGGCCTCTTTTTCTGCTTTGTTGGAAGAGGTCAGGCGAGGAAAGGGGACAAGGGGATTCGAGGGATGTGGAGGCCAGGGCTTCGGTGGTGAGGCTTTTGGGAAGGGTTCAGGGCCGTTAAAGGGCTCCTTAAAGGGTTCTATAGGGTTCCTTAAAGGGATCTATGGGGTTTAGGGTTTAGGGCCTACTTGGAGGGGCAGGGGACTTAGTAAGTAGCTTAAACGTAGGATTTTAATTGGGGTAACTCCATTTGGGGTACTTATAACTCTACTTACAACCTACTTACTAAGTCCCCTGCCCTTCCAAGTAGGGGCTGGGGGCCTGGCGGTGAGGGTTTAGGGTTGAGGGTGTAGGGTTTGGGGTTTAGGGGTATAAACTAGGTTGGCCTTCAAAGCCTCTGAAAAATCTTCGTAAATAGGGTCCTATTAAGCCCAATAAGGGGAGATATAAAATATACCAAAGGCCTACCTAGTAAACTAAAAGGGTTGTTAGTTCAAGATGAAAGGTTTACGCACCGCCTTGGCCTTGAGCATAAAAAGCCTCCCCTCAGCCTTACCACACCATTTGGGAAATATGGAAGGATGTCGCGACGAACACTAATCCTAGTACCCTGATCCCTAAACCCTAATCCCTAAACCCTAAACTTAAACCCCAAACGGTAATCCCTAAACCCTAAACCCCAATCCCTAAACCCTAAACCCTAACCCGTAAACCCCAAACCTCAAACCCTAAACCTCAATCCTGAATTCCCAGATCGGGTCTTCAAGGCCTTAAACCTTCAACGAAAGCCCAGACCCCAAGCATCTACTGTGCGGGTGGAGGTCCAGGCTTCGTGTTGAGGCTTCAGGGCTCTACAGCTTTAGGGTTCAGGCTTTGGGGCTTTAGGGCTTTAGGCTTTAGGGCTCTCGTCTTCGGGATGTAGGGCGTCAGGCTTTGGGAAGTAGCTTTAAGCTTTGGGTGTCTTAAAGCCTTCTATCTTTGAATCTACGGTGGGCTTTAGGGCTCTGGGTTCAGGCTTGGGAGTTTTGGTGCCGGAGATATTTCGCCCATAACCCAAGCTCGAGCCGTGTAAGGGCCTGGGCAGCTAGGGGTTTAGGGTTTAGGGCCAGTTATGAAATTGTATACTTCTAGCACCTGCTGTTCCAAAGCCCAGCACCCCGCAAGCAACCCTAAACTCGTTCTTTTTTGGTGGGGGCTCCTTTTTCCAACTGAAAAAACTTTAAACCCTACCCCATCCAGCCCTAAACCTCGACCCCTAAACCCTAAACCCTAAACCCTAAACCCTAAACCCTAAACCCTAAACCCTAAACCCTAAACCCTAAACCCTAAACCCTAAACCCTAAACCCTAAACCCTAAACCCTAAAATCCCTAACCCTCAACTCGAACCGCAAGGCCCTTCCCCTCAACCGGAAATCCTCAATCTGACTGCTTTGGGTCTAGGGTTCACCTCAACCTACAAGAAATTCCTCATCAGAGTCCACGAAGAAAGTAGGAATTTCCATATTAGGGTTTTTTCATAAAGAACCCATAAAAAGGGTAGGTTTTGATTCGTTCAGGTAGGGTTTAAGGCCTAGGCTTCGGAGGGCCGCTGGGGCCCCTGGCCTGATCCGATAGAGCTTCCTGCCCGCCTCCGTGGCGGCAGCCTTTCGCCGGTTTCGGGTTTGGGGTCTGGGGTTTAGGATTTAGGGTTTAGGGTTTAGGGTCTAGGGTTTAGGATTTGGGGTTTAGGGTATCCCTTTTGAGCTGGGGGTTTTGCGTTTGGGGTTACTGCTTGGGAGTTTGGTTTGGGGTTCGCGCGTGAGTAGGGCTTTAAGTGCGGGGTTGGAGGTTTCGGGTTTGGGCTTCGGGTCTGCGGGCAGTTTGACCTGGTAGGAAAAGCTTTGAGATGTTCATGGCAGTGCTTGGGGTGGCATCGGCTTCCTTACAGGTTCCTGTGTTCCGAGTTTCGCGAATCTTTGGTTAAGGGTCTCATACTGCAAAGGGTTCCAAGACTATAACACGTAGTGGCATCTAGAACAACCATAGTATATAATAAGAAGCAGAACAAGAAGAAGACTAGCAAAATAGTAATGATAGCGATGGTTGTGATTACATACATGTGTGTATGTATGCATGCATGTTTGCATGCATACTGTGTGTATTGGTGTATGTATGTATGCATGCACGCATGTATATATGCATGTATGCATGTATGCATATGTATGTGCATGTGCATGTGTTCATGTGCATATGCATGTGTATGTGTATGTGTGTGTGTGCATATGCATATGAAAATGTATATGTGTATGTGTATGCATATGCAGTTGTCTATGAGTATGTGTGTAAGTGTATATGTGTCTGCATACGTATATGTACCTGTATCTGTACATGAACATGTGCATGCATGTATGCATGTATGTATGCTCGTATGCTGGTATGTTTGTATGCCCGTATGTGCATGTGTATGTGTATGTGCATGTGCACGTGCATGTGTATGTGTAGGTGCAGGTGTAGGTGTCTGCGCAGTGTGCATATGCATGTATGTATGTATGCATGCATGCATGTAGGGCAGGAAAGAAAGGTGTGCGTATGTGTGAAGGACGCCTGCATGCATGCATGTCTGTGTGCATGTATGTATGTATGTGCGTATGTATGTCGGTGAGGATGGATGGATGTACGTATGTACGTGTACGTACGTGGGCGTGTGCATGCATGCATGCATGCATTCACGGATGCATGGATGGATGGATGGACGGAGGGCTAGAGGGATAGATGGATGGACGGACGGAGGGACGGATGGATGGAAGCATGCACGTAAGACAGGAAGATGGCTTTGCTGAGAACAAATCGGCATTTGCTGTCACACTTGGGCCAAGCCGACATTTTATCATCGTGGATTACCATCATCCGCAACCCGAATTTCGAGGCCCTCGTCCCCTGTACCATGTCAAAACGGGAGTTTCCGAAAATCGGGGATCCTAATATAAAACCCTAAATGGTAGGATAAATTGGGACCCCAAAATAAGGTACCCCTATTTTCGGAAACTCCCAAATGTCAACTTCGCTCTTCGGGTTTAGTGCTTCGGCTCTCCAACTGCCTGCCTTTGCGTCTTTCTTTGAGATGCAAGGCCGCCTGAGCTTCGCGCATTTGGGGTCCGGGGCTTCATGCCTAAACACTACCTGGGCCCTGGAACACCTACCTTTCTTTGAGAGCTATCTAAGGCAAGCATGTTAAGGAACTCTGGAAAAGTAGCTTCTTTCGGGTTGAAGTAAAACCGAAACCCCGAAAAATAAACCCAAGTGTCTAGAGGGGCGGGCTTAGGAATGCGGGTCTAGGCGTCAGGGAGGAGGGGGTGTCTCCCGAACTGAATACTTCGGGTTTTGGCGCCTTGGGTGCTGGAGCTCGGGGGGTCCGTTGGATTTGAGAGCTTCATGGAATTAGGGCTTAGGGTTTGGGGTTTCGGGCTTAAGGGCTTAGGATGTATGGTTTAAGGGTAGATCTTGCCGCAATTATGACATACAGGCTGACACACTGCACACGCGGACATAATCCGGCGTGTTCAAGCTGTCTGGTGGCAGATTGGTTAGAAGCTGCCCCCACCCTCTAATAGCGACTATAAGGACTATATTATATTAGGGCCCTATTATATTCCTATTATACCACTATTACAGGGTGGGGGCAGCTTCTAACAGATTGGTCATGATTGGTCAAGTGGGAGAGGGCTCTGAAGTTGCGACCTCAGCCTAAATCCCGAAACCTGAACCCCAAACCCTAAACGCTAAACCCCCAAAAACCTAAACCCTAAACCCTCAACCCTAAACCTGAAACTCATGGATCCTCAACCTAAACCCATGACCACCTCCAGCCCCAAGAAACTCAAATCCTCTCTTCTGGCTCGAAAATCAAAACACAGTTTAAGGTTTAGGGTAGCCCAGGCAGGAATTACAAAAATCTAGACTGTCCAATCATGACTCACCTCCCCAGAGCATGTTGGAACAGTTCCAAGCCGAAAGAAGAAGTCCATATTCTACATTCCTGCCCCTCTCCTGACCCTCAAAACCCCAAACCCTGCAGCCTCAACGAGTCACCAAAGCCAAACCCTCAACCCAAAGCCCTAAACCCCCCAAAACCACAAACCTCTAAACCCAAACCTCGAAGCCCACCTCCTGACACATCCCAGTTTCTCCCTGGGTTCTTAGCAGGGAATGGACTACTATAACAGACCTGATTAAGGGACTATCAAGGGATCCATCCCCCAATGCCCTGCTACCCAAGACCCTAAACCTTAAGAACCAGGGAATCCCTCCAACCCCTGCACAGGGCAACCGGCAATCGTGCGCGCACCTTGCGCCTAAGGCGCTGAAGGACCTAGGATGTCAGGAGTGGTCAAGAGGATATGGGAGTTTCCGAAAATAGGGGCCCCGAATATAGTACCCTAAATAGTAGGATCCTTATTATGAGGATCCCATAATAAGGTATCCCCAATTTTCGGAAGCTCCGATATTTCGCCCTACTAACCCAGCCTCTGGCTCGAACCCGGGTAGCTAGCCAACGATGAGCCTCTTTAGGTAGGGGCCTGGATCCGTAAATAGGGTTTAGGGTTTAGGGTTAAGGGTCTAGGTTTAGGGTTTAGGGTTTAGGGTTTACCCAGAGTCCATATATGGGTGGTTGTCAAAATTATGGTTACTTTTTGGGTATCCTAAATATTAGGTGCCGTACTAGAATAAGGACCCAAAAAGGGACCCCATTTTTGGCAACTACCCATATGTCTAGCACATGATCCCGCAAAACTCTACACTCCCAACAAAAACCTGAACTCCAAACGCTAACCCCTACAACTCCCCAGTAAATTGAGAAAGCCTGACCTTGCGGCCGAATCAATCCCGACAAGCTCGCGAAGGCCTATAAACCCTTAACCCTCTGGCCCAGCACTGAAATGCTTGGCAAAGGGAAGTGTGCAGCAATCCCAGGGTCCCCACCTCCGCCTTGGTGATGCGCTTCTTCTTGCGTGGTTCCTTCTGTCCGTCGTCTTGTATCTTCCGGTTTTGGGTTTAGGGCTTTGGTTCCGGGTTCTTTTGAGGCTCGGTTTTGGGTTTAGGGCTTTGGTTCCGGGTTCTTTTGACACTTAGGCTGCGAGGTATTCTTCTCTATGTTGCGCAAATTCGGTCTCGTATTCGGTCTTATCAACCGGCGCATCTTACCCTTGCATCCAGGCTATATCCCTGAAACCGCTTGCATCGAGCAGGCATACTGCTGATGGACAAAATCCTGCATGACCCTAAGGACTCTAAACTTGGGAATTATGGTCCATCAACAGTACCAACACCCCAGATTCTGAACCCAAATCGGGGGCACGGCCTTCTCTACCGTACATGGTAGAAGTACAACATAGGAGCTTCTAAAAAGAAACATGGCTTAGTTTCTGAAACTTCTTCGTCTAGGAGCAGATCTGCTTCTAGGTGATAAACCCTCAGGAGTTGGTGTTTGGGTGGGTTTCGCAGAATGAAGGACCCTGATGCAGGACCCTAAATAGAAGGGTGCGCCGGATAAGGCACCCTGGCATTCGGGAAGCACGATAAATCACGCCCTGTAAAGGCTGTAACCCCAGAACACCCAAGAAAACGTAATTTAAGGGTTTAGGGTTTAGGGTTTAGGGTAAAAATAAACGTACGGAACTCTCGCTGCGCGCCTGCTGGCCAAACCGACAGCGGGGGCTGCGCCTTGTTTAGACGAGCAGCGGTGAAGTCTTGTTTGCGGATTAGAGCCGATAGGGTTGAAGGTTTCGGACGTAGGGTGCTCCGGTTGATGATATAAATCCTGCATTACCCATAATAAGGAATATGTGGGAATTATGGTATATTCCTTATTGTGGGTCATGCAGGATTTATATCATCAACCGTCTGGATTGACTAAGGGTCTACTGCAAAAAGCTTGACTCAGGTTTAGGGCCTGAGTTTCTGGCCTCAGGTGTAGGGTGTGGGGCACTGGGCTTTGCGACTCAAGACTTTGGGATCAGGAACTAAGCTTTAGGATGCAGGACTGAGGATTCGGGATTTGGGCCTCAACAGTTTCGAAGCGAAGGTGCAGAGTTGTCGCTTGAACGAAGTGTTCCGCAAGGAGAAAGGTTCTGCAAGTTCGGGCTCTTTTGGTATGGGGGCCTTACTAGTTTGAATAGGGTTCTGCAGTACAACCTGGTATAACTATCATACAGAATCCCAGGGAATACTGTTGGCAGAGCTGCCCTGAATAATCAGACTAGGGCTCTTCGTCAATATGTGGAAGCCCCAAGGAACCGTATGAGTGATCATTGAAGCCCATTTATGAACATTCACAATGCTTTGGCCATTTCGAGACTCGTCGTGGAACAGGGGCGTGGAAGGGCAGTCCACAAAACAAATGCACCTGAAGCCACCAATCGACAGAAGCCTGTGCATGTGCCACAAACGAACATCATTCAGCCTTCAACACCTGACATGTTAGTGCATCCTTGGTCTGTACAAAGCTTGTAAGCCCAATAGGCCTCAACCTCATTAGACCTGAGCCAGATAGTACCCAAACCCTTCCTCTGTAACCCATATCCCAAAACTCTTCTAAGATTCCGATTCTAATTATATATCATGGCCCCAAGAATGCCAGTGAATGCATGAATGATGATGGCCACGTTTTCAAGCGGTGTCCTTTCGAGTTTTAGGCTTTGTTCGGATTTCGCTTTGTTCAGGGATCGTTCCGCAGGATTTTGGGATGTGGCATGGGTGACTCAGGATATTATGTTTAGTGTCGCTGCCCGTAGGTCTGCACGATGGGGGATATGGGTAGATTTTGCAGGAACCATGAGGAAGTCTCGGTAAATGCGGGCTGATAAGGGGTCTCAATTACAGAAACGGTCTGGCCCAACCATAGAAGATACTTGGGCCGCAACTGCAGAAAACCCCAAACGCCTAAAACCTAAATCCTAACTCCCAAACCCTCAACCCCGAACCCTAAACCCGCACCGCTGGGACTCTCCGTATCAGAGAAGCTGCCAGCTATCCTTCCGATCCTTTTGCAGCTTGTGCTGGGCCTCGGTGGAGATGTTGGGTTAGGCTTACCTGGACCCTGAATGACCTACCTTTTCAAGGACTTATATAAGGAAATCATAATAAGGGTTCCTAACAAGGTAGGTTCTCTAGGGTCCAGGTAGGGTTTAGGCTTTACGCTTTAGGGTATGGGGTTTAGGGTTTAGGGCTTCGGGGTTTAGGGTTTATGTTTGCAGTTTCAGGTTTCGGGCTTGGGCTCCAGTGTTTAGTTTAAAAGGGGTGGAACCCTGAACTCTGAAATCCCAGAAAGCTGGTCCGCAACTCCTGCCGCGTTCGTTGATCCGAAAGCCCCGGAATCTCCGTGGATAGGCGAACCAGGATTTTGTGATCTAAGTACAATACTTACAGTAGGAACGCTTGGAATTCCCCAGGCTTCTAGGCTCAGTTAAAGCCTAAGAGTGTGGGGTTTAAGGCTTAGCTTTAGGGTTGAGGTGTGGGTTCGAACTTAGGGTCCGCACTCAGCATTTAGGAGGCCACAGCCAGGCCACGGCGTGCCCTTAAAGCCTGAAACCCAGACACCCGACGACGCGACCCTGAAGCCTGTAAATCCTGAAGGCAAACCCTAAAGCCTGAAGATAGGGGTGTTGATGGTTGGACTAGAGTTAAGGGGTTGACTACAGTTTACTATACCATGATTTTATGAAGCCTCAGCGGGAAAACGTAAGTATTCAGACCTCTTGACTCACCCTTAATGAAATCTTCACAAAACCCTGCAAAAACATCGTTTTCAGGTCCTTACATGGAAAGCATTATAACTCCCGACAAAACCCTGTAACAGAAAAACCACAAAACATCCTACACTCATCCTATTTCGACTCTTTAGGGAAACGCCATATAAACCCTAAACCCTGTAAACCCAATGAACCCTAAACCCGCGACCCTAAACTTACATGAAGTAACTCGGTCCAGGAATCCCATTCAAGCGCCCGGTGGAAGGCATAATTCTCCTTTGCAACGTCGTCCGCGAGATGGACCTGACCAAGAAAAATTCGTCTAATTTAGGAGCCGCGGCTTAGGGTTCAGGGCTTAGGGTTTAGGCTGTGGTTTCGGGGCTTAGGTTCAAAAGTCTTAAGGTTCGGGGTCTTGGGTTTTGGGGCCTTAGTAGACTCTGTAGGGCTTTGGGGTCTATGATATAACTGCAGCAAGTGCCTGAAGTGAGGAATTTACGGTCTATTTAAGGCAGTCAATGCTTAACAACCCCAAAAGAGCCCTTAGAGAACTCTGGTACGACCCTTGTCTTCTGAATTTCCCTTCGGGTACTAACATCCGCCCCGTTGGGTGTTTTGAAGGTTGTCTGAGGGGTGGCTTTCTGACCCAAGTGTATGAATAAAGACGGTGTTCGGCAATGTTGAAAAGCGACTTTAAAGGCTTGTGTATTGCTTACCGCTTTTGCAGGGCTCTAGGGCTTGATATAGAGGTCTGAATCCTTCGTCGCAGTCTCCCCTTTATAATCATAGACGAATTCTACGACAAACCCTTGCAGGTGAGGGGGCTGTTTGCTCTGAGGCGAACGTGACAAAATTTAGGGGTTGTAGCGTTTAGGGTCTTCGGGACTTCGGGACATTTGAGGGTTTTGAGGTTGTTGACCCTGGTTTAAGGGCTTTGAGGTTAGGAGCCCGGTCGAAGGGTTTCCGGTTTGGGGGTGAGGGTTTAGAGCTTTCAGGTAGGGAGCCTAGGGTCGTTCAGGGTTTGGGGCTGTTGACGTTGAAGTTTAAGCTGTTGGGCTTGTTCCTTTTTGCCATATGCCGCGATGACTAAACGACGAATCTGGGAACAGCATGACCGATGATGTTCTAGCTTCTGCGGCGCAGCTTCTGTAGTGCTAGGATGGACCTGACTGCGGTCACGTTGCTTAAGTTATCATTGCTCGAGGTGAGGGTCCGAATAAAAGTCTTGACAACCTGTACAAAATTTGCCTAACAGCATACTGCTCACGACGTGCCTACACACAAAAACCGCGCAGTGAAACTCTGCAAGCTGCTGGGTAGTTGGATGCCCTCCGAGCTCTGGTTGAACAAGGCACCAAAAGTCAAACTCTGCAGGCTGCTGGGTAGCTGGATGCCCTCCAGGCTCTGGTTGAAGTCGAAGCCAAACGTTAGACTCTGCAGGCTGCCGGGTAGTTGGATACCGTCCAAGCTCTGGTTGAACTGATTGCCAAACGTCAAACTCTGCAGGCTGCTGGGTAGTAGGATGCCCTGCAAGCTGTGGTTGAACTCATCGCCAAACGTCAAACTCTCCAGGCTGCTGGGTAGTAGGATGCCTTCCAAGCTCTGGTTGAACCGCTCGCCAAATGTCAAACTCTGCAGGCTGCTCGGTAGTTGCATGCCGTCCAAGCTCTGGTTGAATTCGCGGCCAAACGTCAAACTCTGCAGGCTGCTGGGTAGTTGGATGCCATCCAGGCTCTGGTTGAAGTCGGCGCCAAACGTCAAACTCTGCAGGCTGCTCGGTAGTTGCATGCCGTCCATGCTCTGGTTGAATTCGGGGCCAAACGTCAAACTCTGCAGGCTGCTGGGTAGTAGGATGCCCTGCAAGCTGTGGTTGAACTCATCGCCAAACGTCAAACTCTCCAGGCTGCTGGGTAGTAGGATGCCCTCCAAGCTTTGGTTGAAGAAGTGGCCAAACGTCAAACTCTGCAGGCTGCTGGGTAGTTGGATACCCTCCAAGCTCTGGTCAAACCAGTCGCCAAACGTCAAACTCTGCAGGCTGCTGGGTAGTTGGATGCGCTCCAAGCTCTGGTCGAACTGCTCGCCAAATGTCAAACTCTGCAGGCTGCGGGTAGTTGGATGCCATCCAAGCTCTGGTTAAACCCGCCGCCAAATGTCAAACTCTGCAGGCTGCTGGGTAGTTGGATGCCGTCCAGGTTCTGGTTGAACAAGACGCCAAACGTCAAACTCTGCAGGCTGCTGGGTAGTCGGATGCCTTCCAAGCTCTGGTTGAACCGCTCGCCAAATGTCAAACTCTGCAGGCTGCTCGGTAGTTGCATGCCGTCCAAGCTCTGGTTGAATTCGCGGCCAAACGTCAAACTCTGCAGGCTGCTGGGTAGTTGGATGCCTTCCAAGCTCTGGTTGAAACGCTCGCCAAATGTCAAACTCTGCAGGCTGCTGGGTAGTTGGATGCGCTCCAAGCTCTGGTCGAACCGCTCGCCAAATGTCAAACTCTGCAGGCTGCTGGGTAGTTGGATGCGCTCCAAGCTCTGGTCGAACTGCTCGCCAAATGTCAAACTCTGCAGGCTGCTGGGTAGTTGGATGCGCTCCAAGCTCTGGTTGAAGTGGAAGCCAAACGTCAAACTCTGCAGGCTGCTGGGTAGCTGGATGCCCTCCAAGCTTTGGTTGAAGACGTGGCCAAACGCCAAACTCTGCAGGCTGCTGGGTAGTTGGATGCCGTCCAGGTTCTGGTTGAACAAGATGCCAAACGTCAAACTCTGCAGGCTGCTGGGTAGTTGGATGCCCTCCAGGCTCTGGTTGAAGTTGTAGCCAAGCGTTAGACTTTGCAGGCTGCTGGGTAGTTGGACGCCATCCAGGCTCTGATTGGAATTGCAGGTGAGTGACGTGGTTTCGTTCAGGGCAACAAGATCAGACGGAGTCAGAGTCTTTTCCGTGAGTAGGCGCTCCCAAAGCATCGCGACACGACCCGCGCCGAGCTTTCGCACCACGTACCAGATCTCTTCGTGCTGGACTTGAGGCAGCAGCAGCTGGCGCTGGTTGATGACACAACCACCGGATGTCAGCACAAGTAACTGCGCAGGGTGGCCAAGTGCAGCTGCGATGCGTTCTGCTATGTTCCAACCCGTTTCGCCAGAGTTGATCTCCAGCTCGAAGCTGGAACCTGCCATGCCATGAACGCTCACGGTCTGCTTGGCCCTTTCCAGAGAGGCCTCTGCGGACTGCGGGAGGCCCGAGATCTGTTGCATGATGCCTCCGGCCCGCATGCAATCGTCCATGGCGTTCTATGGATTCAGAAATGAGGGGTTTAGGGGGTCTGGGGGTGCGAATGGTTTAGGAAGCTAGTTTAGGGTTCAAGGTCTATGCAGCTATATAGGGCTTTCGGCTTTAAGTTGCAGTCGCTAAGGTCTATGTGCACCTTACTCAGGGGTACAAGGCTCTACCCCTTCAAACCCTTGCGGGTTTAGGGTTCAAGATTCGCGAGCTCCCTGCGATATTGGGGCTTTAGGTGTGGGGCTAAGAGTTCGAGGCCTGGGGATGTGAGCATCCGGGTTACTTTCAACATGCATGCCTGTGTAAGAAGCAGTTCATATCGGGGCCTAACTAATTAATTGCCAAGACTATTGCGGGGGTTGCTCACTTTGGCTGTAGTATAATTAATATGCCTCAAACCTACTCTAAGGGTTAAGGCCCCTATGTTATGCTGACTTTCGGTTTCAGGCATGAGCACATCATGCTCCTGTTCGCGGAAAGCGTACGGTTTCGGGTTTCGGCGTGACTGAGATTGTTCCTACTAGGCTTATACCATAAACCCAACATCAAAAGACCCTAAACCGTGAACCCTAAGCCCTCAAAACCCCCTAAACCCTTAACCCTAATCCGTGGCTCCTCAACCCACCGTAAACCCCAAAGGCCCTAAACCCTAAACCCCCGAACCCTGGACCCTGATCCACACAACCCGGACCCTGAACCCTGTGCCCTAATACCTAAACCCTCAAACCCTAATTTCCTAAACCCTCAAACCCACAAGCACCTGGTCAGGCTCCCAAATGCGGATCCAACAATGTTGTGTTCGATCCCACCTGGACGAAGACGCGCTTTTTGGAGGGGTTTCTGGTTTAGGATGAATTAGGGCTGACACGGTTCAGGGCTTGTGGGGTTGAGGGCTGATGGGCTTAGGATAGTCTGGGGCTTAGGGTTTAGGGTTTAGGGTGGTTTCCGGTATAGGATGTAAGCTTCAGGACTTCGGGGGCAGGGGTCGAGAACCTCACAGTTCAGGGTTGCTAAACACTAAACCCTAAACCGCAGTTTGTTGAATTTTTGGCTTAGGCTTGGGAGCCTTGGAGTTTGGGGCTTGGTCAAAAACCTGAGACTTAGGGTCGGTTTCAATAGTCGTCAGAGTACTTGCAACCAGGGCTCTATGTTAACAACATACTCAGGGAAATCAAACACCTATCCCAAATCGATACCTAATCTCCTGAACCCTAAACCCTGAAAGCCCAGAGTCTAAACCCTAAACCCTACAGGGTTAACCCTAAACCCTAAACCCTGAACCCTACAGGGTTAACCCTAAACCCTAAACCCTAAACCCTACAGGGTTAACCCTAAACCCTACAGGGTTTTATAGGCGATTCAACTCGGGGGCCTCCCTTCCTGACTCGGCTGTGTAGGGCTTGGCGGCGCCAGGCTGTTCGGGCTCGCTTGGGCTTCAGGGCTTAATTTAGGGTCCTTCATAATTCAAACAGGGTTCCCTTTAAAGTGGTCTATAAGGGATCTATAAGGGCACTTGTAGGGCTTCGGGCTGGTAGAGTTTAGGATGATTTAGGGCTTGCACGGTTTAGGGCTTGTAGCAGTAGGGCTGATAGGGTTTTGGATGGTTTGGGGCTTAGGGTTTCGGGTTTAGGATGGTTGGGGGCTTAGGGCTTAGGGTTTGGAATGGTTTGGGACGGTTTGCCTGTAGGGTTTGGGTTTCAGGGACTGCTTGCGATTTTGCGCTGCGACTGTCCATCGCGAAACATCTCCCTGACCCCTGGGTTCCCCTAAACCCCAAATCCTAAACCCCGAACCCACGGCCGAAACGTCCGTGAAAATAATGTTTAAAAAAAACGAAAACCAAACCCGCCCACTTGAATTTGAGGCTCCACCTGGACTTTGCAATGGTCAAAAGTGCGCATAGTCAATTCAGAAGTTACGCTACGTCCAAAGACAGCCAAAACCCTACACCGAAACAAATTACCCCCAACAGCCAAATTAATGTCAGATCCCCATCCCTTCACCCATGCAACACGCAGCAACTGAATGCCTAAACCCTAAAACCAACAAACAACACCGCGCGCATGAGTCGCAAAGCCCTCAACCCCTGCCCGCCCTCAAGTCCGAGCATGCCAAACCAGAAGCGTCAAACCATGAAGCCAAACCCCTCAATCCCACCCCGAAACTGCTTCAAGCCCAGCAAAAAACAACCCTAAACCCTAAATTGATCCCAAACCCTGAACCCTAAACCCTAAATTGATCCCAAACCCTGAACCCTAAACCCTAAATTGATCCCAAACCCTGAACCCTAAACCCTAAATTGATCCTAAACCCTGAACCGCGAACCCCAAACTCATCCTAAAGCCTGAACACCAAACACTCAACGCCTAAACCCTAAAACCCGAGCCAACATCCGGATCGCCGAGCCCCAAGCCATTCCACTCGATTGAAACAGCCTCAGCCCGTTTTGGGCACAAGAATTCGGAAGAAGTCGGCGTAACGATTCCCAGAGGTGCGTATATGTCAGAGTGTGTGTGTGTGTGTACATGTTTACACACATGCTTACGTGCATGCATGGACGCATGGATGAACGTCCGGGAGGATGGATGCATGGCCGTGGATGAACTGATGCATGAAGGACGGACGGACTGACGCATGGATGGGTGTGCGTACGAGTCCTGTCTGTAGAAGCAAAACATACCACATATTATCGCACAGTATATTCTGAGCTCAAGGATATTCCTAAATTCAGGGTATCGGGCTCACAGGATACTTACAGTGTTAAGGGGCTCACGAGCTTACAGTTTGGTTTGGGATTGTGCCTAGAAGACCCTGCTCCCAAAGACCCTACAGCCCGAGAATCCTAGAACCATCAAACCCCACAACCCCAAAACCCTAACACTTCGGTGCCAAGCGACAGGGTGCCAAGTCAGAGGTGAGAATCACTCCTGGAAACGTGCAGCAATACAAACCAAGCGTCCTTCTCTGCCTGCTGCTTGCTATAAGGATACTATCATGGTGCTGCAATAAGGGTACTACATTGGGTACGGCCCCCATACAGTAACAGTCTACAATTGGGCTACTATTAAGGGCCTTATATATCTATATTATGAATATTATCCAACTGTTGCTGAGTGGGGGCCGTACCCAAGTACTACATGTCAATTTCTGTAGGAAGGATCCCCCTGTTCAGGATCCTGGAAATGCCGTTCTCTCGGCTTTCGGGATGCACTGCTTCAGGGAGTTCGACCCTCCCAATGAAAGAGGGCTCTGAGTTCAGGTGTAGGGTTTAGGGTTTAGGGTTAGGTCATAGGGCCCCGGAGAAAGATCTTTAGATGATCCAACTTTGAAGAATGCTTACCTCTCAAAACGTGCTCGTAAGAGACCTCATAGAGCGTGTGACATGGAACAGTTGCTCAGGGCTTGGCGGCCAAGGGTTTAGGGGCTTAGGGTCCGGTTCAGTGTTGCTTTGCCTTTTTTTGTGACTAGTGACCAGTGTTGCGGCTGTTATGTGCAACTTTGCCATCGCCTTCTGCACACTTGCCGATTTTTGACCAGTCGCGATTTCAGTCCGAGAAAGGTACCAAGGACACAGCTGTTACTGGGGCCCCAACCGTTGGCACTCTCTTGAAAGGACTGCCCGTATTTGGCAATCACCTGCCGCGAAGAGTTGGCTTAGCCCAAACCATCTCCCCGAAACCCCAAACCATTTGCCCAAACGCACCATACGAGCGTACCTCAACTCGAATCCTGATACAATACCGCTTTTTTGATCTCAGCATCGCAACCTGAACATTGCCGGGTGACTGGGTCCTTACTACCTTCATAATTACACTGAAGTGGGATGTCTGTCGGGCGTCGCCTTTGCTGCCGAAAGTCCTTAACAAGTCCCGAAAAGAGCAACCCAAAACTCCAAGCTTCAAACCCGCCTGAGCAGCTAAGGGTTTAGGGTTTAGGGTGTAGGGTTTATAAGAGCAATCAAAAAAAGCATCACCACGAGGGTTTAGGGTATCATCCTAGGAGCTAACACCACCATCATCTGCCTCATCATCATCACGGCCATGCCCGCCTCCACTTTCCTAAATCCGAATATCTAAACCCAACCCGAAACCTAAACCCAGAACCTCAAAACCTCAGAAGCTCAAGGCCCAACCCTACATGCTTCCCTTTGACTGTTGCAAGCTCGTAAGAAGTTTCTTTGCTTGGGGCTTCTATTGGGTCTCTATGTCAAGGCTTAGGCTTGAGGGTCTATGGTTTAGCGCTCAGGGCTTGGGGTTTAGGTTTTAAGGTCTATATAGGGTTCCTATGCACTCTGGCCGCCGAGTTGCACAGCATAACAGTGCATAAGGTAGAATCTAATTAATGGCCCCCGGAACCCTAAAACCTGAACCCCTAAACCCTAAACTGGGGCTTTGAGACATGTTCGTGAAAAATGAGACCCCGGTACTCTAAACACGTTGAAGGACAATACTATCACTCATGAATACTGTTGATGATATGACTCCTGCATTACCTTAACGGCCCTAAACTATGGGAATCACGGTATATTCCTCATTATGGGTAATGCAGGATGTATATCATCAACCGTATTTCCTTTGTCTTAGGTCCAAAACCCTCGTATTTCTTTTGTCTTAGGTCCAAAAACCCCTCAAACTCAGGCAGAAGAACTCGGTGAGGTGAAACATAGATGACGACGTCGGCGTTACTGCGCATTCCGCTCTTGACCTGGGTCTTGCAGTGGATTACAGTAGAAGCCAGAAAGTTGGAATATCATTATCCTCATGCCCTTAATGTAAAGCACAAGGGATCCTAGCGCTAATCCTCCTAAAGCCATGTTCCAACTTTCTGGCTTCTACTATAAGGCTTTCCTGACCCCAAAACAGACAAAGATTAAGAGGGCTCAACACTAAACCCGAAGCCCTGAACAACCTTCTCGAAGGCTTTCTGACTTTGTGTTGAAGGCCTCGGAGTACCAAAACCAAACCCCCAATTTACGGTTGAAGGTGGCTCTGGTACTGAGCTTCTGAACCCCTTACTTCTCTGTTCCTAAGTCCTCAGACCCCCCCCCTCCCGGGGCCCCAAAGCCCAACCCGATAGGGCCGGTTGTGGTTTAGGAGTTTGGGGTGTTTGAGGGTTCGACCCGACATCCTAAAACCCTAAACCCTAAGATCGAACTCCTCAATGCAAAAAAGCCCGGTAAATCCTGCACAACCACTGTCATGCGGTGGCTTAGGGTTTAGGGTTTAGGGTTTAGGGTTTAGGGTTTAGGCTCGAATAGAAGGGCCCAAGTAGTTAGAACAGGGTTTGCGGGGTCTTTAGAATGATGAACCGTCTCAAAAAGAGGTGCTCAAGGGTTCCATCATGGGACCTCAATCGTTGCCATCGAAGTTGGGAGCACCTAAACCCTAAACCCTAAACCCAAATTCATAGCCCTTATTACAGTTATACAGTTTAAAGGGGCCTTAATAAATATACTATTATTACAATAAAGGGCCAGCTATCAACTTAAAGACAGTGCTGCTTTGATCAAAAGCAGCCCTGAACCCTGAACCCTAGTTCATACTACTCATCCCGATCCGTATAGTACTGGAGCCCCGAGCCTGGGGTTTAGGGCCTTCGTGAAGGGTGACTCGCTCAAGACATGCCACAGCTCCGTGGACCAGTACAAGGCAAGCCCTGCTTAGCATATGGGTAGTTGTCAACATGAGGGTCCCTTTTTGGGTCCTTAATATAATACGGCACCTAATACTTAGCGTACCCAAAAAGGGACCTTTATTTTGATAACTACCCATATCAATGAGCTTCCAACAAGCAATGTCAGGGTTTAGGGTTGCGGGTTTTGGCTTTAGGGGGGAGCCTGTGGGCTTAGGCGAATGCAGTCAAAACTACATGTAACCCGCATGAAGGTACCTGCACCCTTACTGAATCCCCCGATCCCGTAATCAACCCCTCACCCTCAACCCTATGAGTTCTACCGGGGCTCCTCAACCGTAAACATCCGCTAGAGGTTTTGAAATTTTCGGTGGGCTTAAAGTTTACAGGCCTGGGGCCGCGAAACCCTCAACCCTAAAATCTTGAACCCCGAAGCCCTAAACCCTGAGGCATAAATGGTGGTTTCCGAGAATAGGGGACCCTAAATAGTACCCCTGAGTAGTAGGATCCTTATTAGAAGGACCCCAAATAAGGTACCCCGAATTCTCGCAACTGAGCCGCAAACCCTGACCCTGAACCCTAACTCCGGATCCTTGAACCTTACTGACCAAGTACCCGAATCCTCCAGATCCCTGACCCTAAACCCTCAACCAGGAGCCGAAACCCCAAGCCCTTAAACCCTGAACCCTAAACCGTAAACCCTAAATCCTAAACCCTAAACCGGCACCATCCTGTTCTCGACCACCTTAAAAGGAAGCGTACATATTCTAGACCCCTTTCAGCAGGAACTCTACTGTAGACCTCTTTAAGAAAGGAACCGTATATATTCTAGACCCCTTTAAGCAGGAACTCTACTGTAGACCTCTCTAAGAAAGGAACCGTATTATTCTAGACCCCTTTAAGCAGGAACTCTACTGTAGACCTCTTTAAGAAAGCAACCCCTAAACCCTTATAGATCCCTTAAAGGAACCCCTAAACCCTTATAGATCCCTTAAAGGAATCCCTAAACCCTTATAGATCCCTTAAAGGAACCCCTAAACCCTTATAGATCCCTTCAAGGAACCCCCAAACAAACTCTGGGCACTCCGGACGCCGCTTCCGGGCAAGCCCCGGCCTCGAAAATCTCCGGAAAAAGGAGGTGGACTCGGGGTTTTAGGTTTTAGGGATTCCTTTAAGGGATCTATAAGGGTTTAGGGGTTCCTTTAAGGGATCTATAAGGGTTTAGGGGTTCCTTTAAGGGATCTATAAGGGTTTAGGGGTTCCTTTAAGGGATCTATAAGGGTTTAGGGATTGAGGTTTGAGGGTTTAGGGTTTAGGGAGGAGGGGCTTAGGGTTTAGGGATTCCTGAAAGGGATCTGTAAGGGCCCCTTTAAGGGATCTATAAGGGTTTAGGGGTTCCTTTAAGGGATCTATAAGGGTTTAGGGGTTCCTTTAAGGGATCTATAAGGGTTTAGGGATTGAGGTTTGAGGGTTTAGGGTTTAGGGAGGAGGGGCTTAGGGTTTAGGGATTCCTGAAAGGGATCTGTAAGGGCCCCTTTAAGGGATCTATAAGGGTTTAGGGGTTCCTTTAAGGGATCTATAAGGGTTTAGGGGTTCCTTTAAGGGATCTATAAGGGTTTAGGGATTGAGGTTTGAGGGTTTAGGGTTTAGGGAGGAGGGGCTTAGGGTTTAGGGATTCCTGAAAGGGATCTGTAAGGGCCCCTTTAAGGGATCTATAAGGGTTTAGGGGTTCCTTTAAGGGATCTATAAGGGTTTAGGGGTTCCTTTAAGGGATCTATAAGGGTTTAGGGATTGAGGTTTGAGGGTTTAGGGTTTAGGGAGGAGGGGCTTAGGGTTTAGGGATTCCTGAAAGGGATCTGTAAGGGCCCCTTTAAGGGATCTATAAGGGTTTAGGGGTTCCTTTAAGGGATCTATAAGGGTTTAGGGGTTCCTTTAAGGGATCTATAAGGGTTTAGGGATTGAGGTTTGAGGGTTTAGGGTTTAGGGAGGAGGGGCTTAGGGTTTAGGGATTCCTGAAAGGGATCTGTAAGGGCCCCTTTAAGGGATCTATAAGGGTTTAGGGGTTCCTTTAAGGGATCTATAAGGGTTTAGGGGTTCCTTTAAGGGATCTATAAGGGTTTAGGGATTGAGGTTTGAGGGTTTAGGGTTTAGGGAGGAGGGGCTTAGGGTTTAGGGATTCCTGAAAGGGATCTGTAAGGGCCCCTTTAAGGGATCTATAAGGGTTTAGGGGTTCCTTTAAGGGATCTATAAGGGTTTAGGGGTTCCTTTAAGGGATCTATAAGGGTTTAGGGATTGAGGTTTGAGGGTTTAGGGTTTAGGGAGGAGGGGCTTAGGGTTTAGGGATTCCTGAAAGGGATCTGTAAGGGCCCCTTTAAGGGATCTATAAGGGTTTAGGGGTTCCTTTAAGGGATCTATAAGGGTTTAGGGGTTCCTTTAAGGGATCTATAAGGGTTTAGGGATTGAGGTTTGAGGGTTTAGGGTTTAGGGAGGAGGGGCTTAGGGTTTAGGGATTCCTGAAAGGGATCTGTAAGGGCCCCTTTAAGGGATCTATAAGGGTTTAGGGGTTCCTTTAAGGGATCTATAAGGGTTTAGGGGTTCCTTTAAGGGATCTATAAGGGTTTAGGGATTGAGGTTTGAGGGTTTAGGGTTTAGGGAGGAGGGGCTTAGGGTTTAGGGATTCCTGAAAGGGATCTGTAAGGGCCCCTTTAAGGGATCTATAAGGGTTTAGGGGTTCCTTTAAGGGATCTATAAGGGTTTAGGGGTTCCTTTAAGGGATCTATAAGGGTTTAGGGATTGAGGTTTGAGGGTTTAGGGTTTAGGGAGGAGGGGCTTAGGGTTTAGGGATTCCTGAAAGGGATCTGTAAGGGCCCCTTTAAGGGATCTATAAGGGTTTAGGGGTTCCTTTAAGGGATCTATAAGGGTTTAGGGGTTCCTTTAAGGGATCTATAAGGGTTTAGGGATTGAGGTTTGAGGGTTTAGGGTTTAGGGAGGAGGGGCTTAGGGTTTAGGGATTCCTGAAAGGGATCTGTAAGGGCCCCTTTAAGGGATCTATAAGGGTTTAGGGGTTCCTTTAAGGGATCTATAAGGGTTTAGGGGTTCCTTTAAGGGATCTATAAGGGTTTAGGGATTGAGGTTTGAGGGTTTAGGGTTTAGGGAGGAGGGGCTTAGGGTTTAGGGATTCCTGAAAGGGATCTGTAAGGGCCCCTTTAAGGGATCTATAAGGGTTGAGGAGTTTAGGACTCGGCGCCTTCTCGGGGTTTTCGGGTTTAAGGCCTTTAAAGTTCAGGGTTTAAGGCTTAAAGCTAGGGTGTTGGGGTTTAGGGCTTTGGGTTTAGGGGCTAAGGGTTTGGGGACTGTTGGATTTGAGGGTTAAGAATTTATAGGGATCGGGGTGGAGTGGAGACTTTAAGGTGATGAGCAGCTGCTGGGCTCAACACTCAGGGACTACCACCCTCCACCCTCACCCCTCATCGAGTTGGGGTTAAGGCCCCTAAACCCTAAAGTTGAGATGTAAATCTCAATCAGTTTTGGTGTTACACTCAGGGGGTTGAGGTGTGGGAGTCAGGGAGCTAATGCACACCTCTGATTCATGCAGCCCCTTGTTCAGGGGCCTTAGTGTATAGTCGGATCCATCTTATATGCCTGATAAACAGACAGGCAATGATGCGAAACACCAAACCACTACTAGTACTGCAGCTTAGGGCTTAGGAAACATGAACAACGCAATAATGCTGTTGATTCGTGGGATGAGCGAGGCTCAGCTCCCGGCACAGATGCACATGATTTCTCCCCATCTTCTTGAGTCCCTGCGTACGGATCGAGAGGAACTTGTCGAGGTAGGTGCCGTGAACCACCTCTCTTTTCTCAGGGTTGCGAGCTGATGGTTCCCCCTAAGCCCTAAACCCGAAACTCTACACCGTAGACCCTAGGATGTCATTCGGCGAAGGTCCCATTTTTAAGGTCTTGGGTTCGGGGCTTTGGGCTTGTCTGTTTCGGTGGGTTTAACAGCTCAAGGCAGAGGTTCGGGGTGTCTGACTTTCGGTTTAAGGTTTAGGGTTTAGGGTTTAGGGTTTAGGGTTTAGGGTTTAGTCCAGCCCCTTGTTTTTTTGCGCTTCAATGCCTAGGAGCTCCCAGAAGCACACACACCTTGAACTGCCAAAGCCGGTTTTGCAGGGTCCCTACAAAGTCTACATTGTCTACATGAAGGTTTATGATATGAACCTACAAAAAAACTAGGTTATGCTAGTTCAATTTAAATCCCAAACCGTTCAACATCAGATGAACGCGCCGTCCTCTGAGGATCTTTTGCTCCATGGTAATCCTCATAACCCATCGTATGAGTGAAGAACTGAGGTCAGAAATCCCTCAAACCCCCAACTCTAAAACCCCCAAACCCTAAACACTAAACCCCAAATCCCTTAACCCCCAAACCCCTGAACCCCAAACCCTAAACCAATAAATCCGTAAATCCATGAACCCTAAATAAACTACTAAATCACTAAACCCTAAACCCCTAAACCCCTAAACCCTAAACCATAAACCCCTAAATCCCTAAATCCTTGAACCCTAAACCACTAAACCCCTAAACCCCTAAAACCCCTAAACCCCTAAACCCCTAAACCCCTAAACCCCTAAAACCCCTAAACCCCCATGTAATCCATAGTCGACCTCATCCTGCGGGTCCCAATCTTCGACCTCGGGTTCGTTAGATTTTGTGCCGAGGCCTTCAACTTGCAGGGTTTGGTCTTCAGGATTTGGGAGGATTCAGGGTTCAGGTTTTAGGGTTTAGGGTTTAGAGTATTTGGGAGGACTTAAGGTCTTTTTTTAAACACTTCTCTAAATTTTGCATGTCATCCTTGCGCGGGGGCCATGCTAACCTTCTCTGTATCGTTCCGAGGATTGAAGGTTTAGGGCTTAGGGTTAGGACGGTTTGGGGTGTAGGGTATTTAGGATTCAAGAGGATTTTGGGGTTTAGGGTCTTGAGTTTAGGGTATTTAGGATTTAGGGTTGTGGTCATGTAGGGACTACGCGTTGAAAGCCTGTAGTGCCGGTTCAGGCCTATTAGGATGCTCGGGTTGAGGGTTTAGGGTTGAGGGTCTAGGGTTTAGGGTTGTTGGGTTTTGGGTTTAGGGTTTAGGGTTGAGGGTTTAGGGTTGTTGGGTTTAGGGTTTAGAGTGTATATTATCAAGTTGGGACATGGATTTAGGTTGATTTTTTGCTGGGATTCCCTGTGGCTTACCTTAAGGGCATGAGGAGACTGGTGTTGCAACTTTCGGGCTTCTACTTCAGGGTTTCGACTTTGGGTTGTCAGTGAAAGGCTCAAGGTATCGTGGGCTTGCAGCGGCCATCTTTGGGTGCTCTACGTCCTGGTTTCCATGGGAACCACACAAAATATCACACCATGCCAAGCCCTCATGAACCCGGAGACCTGAAACCCCGGAACCCTCAGCCAAGGCCCTAAGCCCTAAACCCAAACACTAAAGGATATCTGTCGGGGATTCCTGCGCTAGATAGGTGTGCAGTAGAAGCCCAAAAGTTGGAAACCCAATAGCCCCAATCCTTAAGAGTCATGCAAAGGGAATCCCAGCACTAAGTGTCCCTAATCCGGCTTCCAACTTTTTGGGGTTTACTCTAGGGGCTTCGGGATTGCGGACGGCGATTCCGAACTGATGATTCTCGGGGTGGCCTTCTCGTAAGTCGATGACATAACTCCCGCTAACTCCCACATAAAAACGCAGGCATCCTGAAACCGCAAGGAACCAATGCCCTAGAAAATCGGAAAATGCGCAGAAGGGAGCTTAATCAACAATGCAAACTGCAAACAAAAATGTGCTGTGTTTCGTGAGCAAGGCTTTCAGGCTTCCTAGTGTTACAGTGTTTGTTTTCCTGTGGTCTCCTGTATGTGTCTAGGTTTCAATTTGACTTTCTGTCACATAATGGCATCATGAGATCGGCACGTGGAGAACGACGAGCGTAAACACAGATGCCACCCTACTTGGAAGGGCAGGGGACTTAGTAAGTAGGTTATAAGTAGAGTTATAAGTACCCTAAGTGGAGTTACCCCAATTATAACCCTACATATAAGCTACTTACTAAGTCCCCTGCCCCTCCAAGTAAACCCTAATCCCGAAACCCAGACCCGACATGGACCAGGTTTGGGGGGCTCCAGGGTTGTAGGGGGCGTTGAAGGTTCTTGGGTTTAGGGCCTTAACGGATGAAGACGAAACAACAATGATATTGATAGCTGGTAGCGATAATCAGACGATAGTAGTAACACTAATTGCTATCATTTCGGGCTTAGGGTTCTAGACATACGGAAAGCCAAGTGCCATCTAGACGCCTTGCTTTTGTCCCACATCATGTCATCCGCCACCTGGGTCGCATGTGTTGCGGCCTTTTAGAGTTCGGGCTTGGGGTACGTAGCTTGGGGTACGTAGTTTCCTAGTTCATAAGCTAAACCAGTGTTAAAATTGCGGGCTCAAGAGTTAAAACAGCATTCTGTTGCAAGCAATCTCGGCTGTATACACTTGGGGGGAATTCCACCTTCTGATGAGCATCCTAGATTTAGGTTGAAGCGTAGGGGAGTATATTATACCACAACTAGAACAAGAAGAAAGACCCTCAGGAAAGGCAAATATTCCGACCACTATATTACCGTTTCGATACAGGCTATCACTACTGGCTCGAATATGAAGTTTTTCGAGACACTACCAACAAGTAGGTTCTACATCACCCACACCCAACGCCGCAGAGCTCTCGAACAGCGGCCGCCTGGGCAATCGAGTGTCCTTGACTGGCTCGAATCCAGGTCTTGCCGTTCTGGCCCAGGGATCGCGGGAGTAATAATCTAAGGGCCGTCATAAATACAACAGGGTTTAGGGTTTAGGTTCCCTTCAAGGTTCCTATGAACTTCAGGGTTCCTACAAGGCTTTGCCAAAGAGGCTAACTATGGAGGCTCCCATGTTACGCCAGGATAGCGAGTCTCAGGGTTGAAACTGAAGAGTGGCTACACTCTGAACTCCTGAAGCCTAACACATCAGCCTTACATGATTAGAAAAGTGCCCGTAGTTCCTTTAAGGTTCCTTACTGTGCTGTAAGAGATACTATCAGTTTCTTATAGGGGAATTAAACTTTTGGTTTAAGGTCTTCAGGGAAGTACAGGTAAAAGTATAAGGACCACAAGCGGATGCTATCACTCTTTTTCTTGGGGTGTATTCTGGTAAATTTCATGTCGGTAATTAGGACGATACTGTTACTTGTTATTCCGACTTTTAGGCCCTAAGCGCAACACTGGTGTCCCTAAACTGTTGTGCAACCCCTGGCAGATGCCAAGCCAGAACCTCGTAGATGGACCCTAAACCCTAAACTGAAAGCCTAGCACCCTAAACCAAAATCCTAAAAGCCTCAACCACAAACACCTGAACCCTAGACCCTAGAGGGTAAACTCTAACGGGGACAGACGAAGCTTCGGGATCCCCCTGTTATGGTTTCAAGGGTCGCGGCTTAGTGTTTAGGGTGTCGGGTTTGGTTGGGTTGAGTGGCTCCTTTATCGGAATTCCTAAAGGATACCCTCTAGATCCCGTAAAGGAGCCCTTTTGATCTTGATTCGTAAACAAGCCCCTCAGGAACCCTTTATCTTTTCCAGAACGACCAACCTTCTTAACTCTCAAAGCTCGGCACAAATTCGCTGCCGTCTGCACACTAGACTGTATAGAGTCTAGAGACTCAAAATTTCAAAACCCCTTTAATCATGTACCTTTAATTTAAGGCACATTCCTCAATTAACAGGTTGGCATACTTAACTGGTAGGGGCGTCTCTGGCTTAGCGAACGAGGCAGCGGCCAAACGTCCCTAAAGACAGCGCCGGGTGAGCCCAGTCTTGCATTTCAAATCGCTGCTTTGGACAGGTCCTGGGCCGGAGGTTGATAGGTTCAGGGGTTTAGGGTTTAGGGGTTTAGATTTTAGGGTTTAGGGTTTAGGGGTTTAGGTTTCTAAATCCCTAAACCCTAAACCAAAACCTCAAACCGGAACCCTAAACCCTAAACAACAAAACCCGAAAATCTAAACCCTAAACCCTAAACAACAAAACCCTAAACTCTAAGCTGCGGTTCAGGTCAGATTAAGGCTCGGAAGGTCTCGGAGCTTGAATACAGGGGCCTGAAGAGTTAGAGTAGGGTTCCTTTAAGGAGGTCGGTAAGGGCTACTATACGGGATACTATATGGGCACTATAATATAGGGGCCTTAATAATTCGAACAGGGTTTTGGGGCCCCTCATACTAAAAATTACAACAAACCCCCCAAACTCGTATTGGTAATCAGTTTGGCCCCTATAGCAGCAACTTGCTGGCTCGCACACTTCGCAGGACCCTCCTAGCTTGCAGCTGCTTCGTGGGGTTCAGCACGCAGAGCACAAGTCTCTTACAGTATACTGTCGCGGAGTATAGTATAGTAGAATAGAGTAGAGTATAGTAGAGTAGAGTAGAATAGAGTATCCATAGTATACTAGAATAGGGTAGAGTAGGAGTAGGAGTAGGTTTGACAGTCAATAAACTAAATACCGACCCGTATGATAGAGTGCATTGAGGGCCAAGAGGCAACAAGCGGTTTAGGATTTAGGGTAAACCCTAAACCCCTAAACCCCCCCAAACCCCAAGCCCGTTAAACCGCAAACCCTAAGAGCGCGGCCGGACAATCTCTTTGATGTCTCTGTAGGTCGTGGAGACCTGCCTTTGATGTCGGATCGGGGAGGGATCGCGGGTCTGAACCCAGATTCGGGGCTCGGGACTCAAGGGTCCGATTTCGGACTTAGGGTTTAGGGTTCAGGATTTAGAGTTTAGGGTTTCTAGTTTAGGGTTGAGGGTTCAGGGGCTAAGGTTTAGGCGCCCACTTTGCTCTGGCTCATACAGCAAAACTCCTTAGCCAGCACGATCGTCAGGATGAGGCCCCTCAAACCCCGAGACCAGAAACCTGAAGCCTTAAACCCTACCAACAAGAACTCTAAGCCCCACGCCCTAATCCCCTAAACCCCTTCTAGAATCCCTTTCGACCCGTTGCTACATTCTAAATTGCTGCTGGAACGCCTCTATGATGTAGGGGCTTTGATAATTGGAAAAGTGTTGTGGGGCTCGTATGCTATACGCATGGAAAGAGGAAAACTAAGGTAAAATATTGCGGCCCATATTGTAAAGCTTATGAAACCTAGGAAAACACTTAAGCCCCTGAACAACACCTACACCTCCTCCCCAGGTTCTCGCACGAAGGGCGCCTGCATTGCAAGAGGTCGTCGACCGCCACCCAGCCGAGCCGGTGCATGTAGATATCGAGCTGGGCATTTTTAGTTTGGGTTTAGGGTTTAGGGTGCATGTGGATATCGAGCTGGGCATTTTCGGGGTTTAAGGTTTGGCACATTAGCATTTGGGGTGGCCGAGGGGGTTGGGATTAAGGCTAAAAGGGCTTTGGGCTGAAGGGTTAACGGGCTTCGGGTTCAGGCTTTTGCAACAGATTCTTGAGAAGTTTGGGCCTTTCGTTCGGGTTCAGGTCTTAGGGCTGCAAACATCCAGCGACCTGAAGACTTGCCCGTCTTCTCAAACTCCACATCCAAAGCATCTTATCCCTAAGCCCTAAAATCAGGGTCATTCCCTTCCAGCTTGGGGCGTCTCGTATCCGGGGGTTGAGGGGGCTAGACGGGTTTGGGGGTTTGGGGTTTTGCAGGGTTCAGGGTTTGCAGGCTTGCGGGTTTGTTGGCTTCTGGTGTTTCATCCCGTTCCAGGGGGCTCCCTGCGGCATCTCCAACTCAAGGAAACAGGTGTAATATGAGGGTCTCAATTATTTTAGTAGGGTTTGGGAATATAGTACACGTACAAAGATAGCATAAAGCAATCTTGTTCGCCTTCGTCCACACTCCAAATCCTAAACTCCCCCCAAGCCCTGGGTTATCTTTTTACGATCACGGCCCTCATGCAATAGCAGGTCCCCGGTTCAGGGTCTCCGGTTCAGGCTTTCAGGGTTTAGAGCTTCGTTGTTGGGGTTTAGGGTCTGGGGTTCCGGGGTTAGGGCTTTCGCTTGGATCGGGTGGCAGGGACTCCAAAACCTTAATGCTTTGAAGGCTCCAGATCGATACAAGGGGCTTAGATTTATATCCTAGAAAAATGGAAAATTTTGGGCTCCGTATTGATACAGGGGCTTAGATTTTGCTCTGGGGTTTAGATTTCTATCCTAGAAGAAAGGGGTTTTCGGGCTCCCGATGAGGCCTGGAGTTAGGGATCATTTGAGACCATCTGGACAGCATTAATGCTTACGGGGTGAGGAGTTGTCGGCCATGTTTAGGCTTTGGTGATTTAAGGAAGTATATGGAGGGCTCTGTGGATCGTTTATTCATTGAAGGGAGGGTTTTGGGCATTCGGCCAGTTTCGACCTCCAGAACTGGTTTGGGGCTTTGGGTTTCGGGTTCAGGGGTTTAGGGTTTAGCGTCCAGGTCTGAGGGTTTAAGGCTTTTGACCTCAGGGTTTTGGTTCGGTTCATCGGTTAGGGTTTAGGGCCTCAAGGGACTAAGTTTAGGGCCTTAAGGGACTAAGGTTCTGTGGTCTGATAACGTTACTCTAGACGACGAGGGTACCGATGAAGGATTTTGAGATCTGGGTAGGGCGGAGGATCTCAAAAGTGCTTCTCGCCAGGTGCAGGATCTAGGGTAGAAAAGATGTGCGATATCCAACAGGCTTTTCTGTTGCACCTTGCCCAGCCAGCCAAAGCGTTTTGATCGCTGAGCCCACGTGTCACGACGCGTCGCACTGCAGCAAGTGCCTGAAGCAGGTTCAACTCGCCTTCTTGCCTGGCCGCCCTAAGGTGGCCATGCTCGAGGGTGGCGCTTGGTGCAGCGGACAGAGGCAGCACAAACACCTGAACATTGGCATTTACAGCAAAAAGAAACCGCCGCCCGAGTCGCAAATCAACACTATGGACTATGGGGTCGTTTCCGGGATAACGAACCCGCATCGGCTCGATGCAGCAGCGCTGGATCATGCTATTCCACGTCTGTGGTGCCTGCGAGCCAGACTCGTGACACCAAATCGCCGTGTCAGGATGCAGCCTCTTGCACAATATCTTCTGGGCTCTACATGAACCCCCTAACTAGCACCCTACTATAGATCCCTTATGGGGCCCTTTAAGGAACCCTTTAAAGATGCTCCCTGAGGCGAGCTCAGGCTGCTGACTGACAAAATGCTGCGAACTTGGAAGATGACATTAAAAAGGCAAGCTCCTCCACTACATGGCCTGGGGCCTAGGGCCTAGGGTTTAGGGTTTAGGGTTTAGGGATTAGGGTTCGGGTTTAGGTGCAAGGTGTTGGGTGTGAGTTTACGACCTGAATCTCTCAAACCCGCCTCGACTACAACAGAACCTTTCCTGCTAGACCGGTTTGAGAACCATCTCCGTCGCAGCAGTGTCAACCCCAAAACCCTACACTCCAAACTCTAAACCCCCTCAATCCCAAACTCTGGAACCCGAACCGCCCCAAACAGACGATTCCTCGAGCAAAAGCCACGAGGCCCTGAACCCCGAACCCCAAACCCTGAGGCCCCGATTGCCCTCAAAACTCTGAACCCGAAGCACTGCCGCCATGCATCGCCCATTAGGGTTTAGGGTTTAGGGTTTAGGGTTTAGGGTTTATACCCCCAAAGCAACTCAAATTCAAAACTGCTTCCGCAAGTTCAACGAGTGTAGCGCCCAGGTTAAGCACCTCTAACCCCGGTGTATAGCCCCTAAAAAGCCCCATCTTCTTGAGACCAGAACCCTAAACCCCAAACCCCAAACCAAACCCAAAACCCTCGACCGATCCAGACCCAAAAAACCCTAGAAGTTTATTCTATTTTTTTAGTAGAGGGATTAGAACTATTTATATATTAAGGAATACACTAAACCCCAAACTTTTTCTGGGCTTTTTGCCCCGGAAACCATCCGAGAGCCCAGCGACTTTGGCGCCATGTCTCAGAACCCAGGTAAGCCTTTGGCGAAGCTTGAGTGTTGCAGGTTTTTCTGGGCTTTAGGAAACCCTAAACCCTAAACCCTAAAAGGGTTTCAGGGTTTGTCTCCTGGGCCCGCCGAGCGCCTCCAGGCCGCGACCAGTAACTCCTGAGCCTCTAAGCCTCTTCAACTTAGAGGCTTAGGGTTCTTCTGTTGGGGATTCAAGGGCTTGGGGCTTAGGGCTTAGAACCCTAAACCCTAAACCCTAAATCGTAAATCGGAAACCGAAACCATCAAACACCTGCACCGTCAGAGCCCGAAACAATTCGCAAGAACCCGAGCATCCGAGGCCCACGCCATTTGCTCACCCCTTGTCTGTCGGACATGCTGCCCAGTTTTGTCAGGGTGAAGCCCTTAAGAGATCGTAGGGTTAAGGGGCTTAGGGAGTGTAGGGCTTAGAAGGGTCGTTCTCCCACCTTGGGAGATCGGGTTTTGGGTGTGGGTTCTCTGTCTGCTTCTTTTGCCTAAGCGGCTAGGGTTTGGGGTTCAGGGTTGCTGCGCTAGGCGCATCTCCTTGCAGGTGTTAGATCGGGGCTTATGTGATCCGAGCAGTTGGCTTTTCAAGCTCCGTTCACCCTGCCTGGAGAGCTCCAAAGCCTAAAAAACCTAGCATGTAAACCGAGATCTCTGGAATTGGCTTTGCATCGGATAAAGGGGCTCTAGGTTTTGCTAGGTTTCCGAGAGTTTCCGAAACAGGGGAACCTAATATATCACCCCCTATAAGTACTTGACACAGTTGCAAGAATGGCTCGCGGATGAGATCCTGAAATGTTGCGGCACAAGCACGGCATCTACTTGCGGGGCACTTCACGGGATTTCGCATGTCCGTACTTGAATGACAGGCTTGCATACGTCCACCCACGTGTGTATGTGCGTGTGTGTATACATGTATATATGCTTATGTATGTATGGATATGTGTATATATATATATATACGCACACGCATGTGCATGCCTCTCTCCTTGCACACAGAAATGCACACCATGTTCAGACATTCTCGAATCACACAAACAGGAACCCTTTCCTCTTCTAAGTCGATTCCTTATTCCGCGTGAGCTCTCTTCTGGGTATACAAAGGGTTTAGGGTTAGGGAGGATGATTCGCAAAGCCAGAATCTCCTCTTCATTGTTTCGAACTTCAAACTAAGGCTAAAGGAGGCCTTCATATCAGAATAACCGGGACGCGCATAGCATGCAAATAATGTAGGCCCTTATGATTCATAGGGCTCTAGGATGTTTAGGGTTTCGATGAGTTTCGGGACGGCACCCCAAACAGACACCTTAATTGCATATGAGTGGTTGTCAAAATTATGGTCCCTTGTTGGGTCCCTATTATATTACGGCACCTAATATTTAGGGCAATTACCGCCATACTCAGGATACCTTTTAGATGATATCACGGATTCCTTTTCAGGTTAAGGGAATTACCCAAAAAAGGGGTATGAATTTTGACAACCACCCATATCCAGTTCGACACTTCCGCAACAACCCAGAGAAGTCTGCTCTCGGCGGCCGGAAGCTCGAAGGACCTACGGTTGATGATAAAAATCCCTAGGGTTCCCTTAAAGGGATCTATAGGGGTACATACCTTTAAGGGGTTCCCTTTAAGGGATCTATAAGGGTTTAGGGTTTAGGGATATAAATCCTGCATTACCTTACTTGGAAGGGCAGGGGACTTAGTAAGTAGGCTATAAGTAAAGTTATAAGTACCTTAAATGGAGTTACCTCAATTATAACCCTACTTATAACCTACTTACTAAGTCCCCTGCCCTTCCAAGTAATGACCCTAAACTATGGGAATTATGGTATATTCCTTATTATGGGTAATGCAGGATTTATATCATCAACCGTACCAGCGCACCCTACCACCCGCAGGAAACCTAAGCCGTGAACCCCGAGTCGGACAAGCATACAACTAAACTGCCTCTCCTTATCGGGTTCAGGGTTTAAGATGTATACATGTATATACATATATAGAGAGAGAGAGGGACCCAAAAAGAAACCCTAAACCCCGAACGGCAACAAACTCAAGGGCGAAACCTTGGCCCTGAGACGCTATCTCTGGGGCTTATTCAACCTTGCTCAAGGGGACCCCCACGCTTAGAAAACAGTGCTAAAAACTCAATACTCCGAACTGTATAGCAAAGGGGCTGGATTTCAGTGTTCAGCGTTCGGGCTTAGGATTCCGAACTTACGGTTTATGGAATACGGAGAACCCGTATCTTTGATGTTCCAGTCTTCTTTTCTTGCACCTGCTGCAGGGTTGCATGCAAGATCTGACCCAAGACGTTCAGAAGAGGGCCCCTGCAGCCGTGGCCCGCAGAAAATCCGAACTCTGCGGTGGAGAGGACGCACTTGTCTACCATCACCGCAGCTTCTTTGTATTCTTTCTGGACCTCGTACCACATTGCACGCATAAGAGGGGTGAGACCCCTCTGCCTGAGGCGCTGATCGCAACCACATGCAGTGATCCACAGTACCAGTCGATCCGGAAAGGCAACAGTATGGACCCAGTGGACAAAGTATCGAACCTCCTCGTCCTCTCTCAGATCTGGCAGGTGGGGAGACCCGCGCGTTGATGGCTGACGTCGCCCTCTGGTGCCCCAAGTAGTGCCCAACTCTACGAGCACGATGCTGTCATTCAGGCCTCTCATCCCAACTTGCTTCAGGCGCGTCAGGAACAGCTCGTCCGCATCGGGCGTGTGCAGCATGGTCTTGAAGCCAATTGCAAGGTTCAAGTCACTGCTTGCGCGGAAGCCCGGGGCACCGCACAAATTTAAGTCGATCCCCTCCAAGCCTATGCTGAACTTGGTGCCCTTGCAAAGATTGCAAGCTCAAGCGGTTTCTGAAGGACTAGAGTCATAATGGTAGCCAAAACTGAAAAGTCTTTCCAAGTACCTCTAAGAAGCCATCCCAGCTCCGACATTTCTTCTGCCATGCACGATCCCTTGGTTTGCGGAGAGGCCCAAGGCTTCTGTTTAGGACCACGGCAACCCGAGACGTGGCCCGGGATCCCTTGAAAGAAAAACCTGGTGTTTAAGCTGCATTAAACTATATTCTGTTGTAATATGTTGTATTACATTAAAATAACCTATATTACTATTATATTATCACATATTATGTTATATGGTATCATATTATACTATGCGACATTGCGGGGGTAGCATGTTCTGTGCTGCGCTAGTCGCCGAAGCCGTGTAACGCTGCTCTGCATCGGTAGGTTCGGTTGTGCCACCCTCATCCCAGCAGGCTGAACTTGAATAGCTAAAAGATCAGAGGCCTCAAAAGGTGGGATGAAGATAGGTGGGGTAATCTCAACATAAGAGACCTTATATAAGGGATCCTTAATCCTACCGACCCTCATCCCACCTTTTGAGGCCTCCGAAAAGAGGCCTTTGCGACTCTGAGTCCGCATTTTGCGCCATACTACTGGCTGTGGTCGTTTGCCAGCCGTATCTCTGACGACGTCAAGTTCCCGACGGCCAACAACAAGCCCCGACAAACTCGCCAATGCAGGTGCGGTAACAACTAGACTAGAAGGGGTAGAATAGAGTTTGCGGAAAAACTTCAAAAAAAATGTAAGAGCATGTCATTACTACTTACTAGTGTTCAGGCCTCTGTGTTCGAGCTTCGGCCTAGAAACTCCAACCCCAAAAACGCTGTCAAAGCCCAGAAGCCCATAAACGCTACCTGAAGGATTTGGGGTTTAAGGTTTAGGGTTTAGGGTTTGGGGTTTAGGGTTTAGGGTTTAGGGGCGGGGCTCAGGAAGCACTGCCAACAACCCTTACAGACCCAACACGCTCAGTACCCCACACCCCAAGAGCCTTTAACTCTGGACTTGCCAACATCGGTCGCTGAGGGTGACTACGGTTGATGATATAAACCCTGCATTACCCATAATAAGGAATATACCATAATTCCCATAGCTTAGGGCCCTTAAGGTAATGCAAGATTTATATCATCAGCAGTAGAAGGGATATGTAAAGATAATTAGAATAGGGTGTTGTGGTATGTTTTTCGATATACAGAGAAACCCTACGCCTTAAAGTCCGAGTACAGCTCCACAAGTGCTGAATCGCCGCTCCCTACACTCGACACCCTCATACACCCCCTAAACCCCTAAGCCCCCAGAGCCCAAACCCTATAAACCCGTAAGCCGTGAACATTAGAGCCCGACACCAGCAGAAGTGCCTAAAGGCTAAACGCCCAAAAGCCAAAGCCCTGTAACCCCGTCGAACAAACCCAAACCTTCGAAATCCACACATGCCTTCTCTATAAACCCTCAAAGCACGTACAAAGGCCGGGTTGAGGGTTTAGGGCTTTAGGGTTTAGTGTTTCGGGTTTCATACCTTCTCTCTAAATCCTCAAAGCGGGGCACGAGAAGCGACAGGAGCTCATGCTCCCCAGGGTCGGCGCAAACTGTGCCGGCAGGCAGCTGGCATTCTCCTGCGCCGGATACCTCACGATTTGTGTAGGATTTTTGGTCTTTCGTTTAGGGTTTAGGGCTTAGGGTTTAGGATTTAGGGTTTAGGATTCAGGGGCTTAGGGATTAGGATACCCTAAACCCTAAAAGCTATTTAGTTGCCTGGAGCCCCGGTGAAGCCGCTTGTGACCTTACTTATTAAGTCCCATGAGCCTCCAATTACAAGCCCGACCCGTCAAGCCCCAAACCCTGAACCCCTAAGCCCCAAAACCATAAACCCCTAAGCCCCAGAACCATAAACCCCTAAGCCCCAAAACCATGCATCCTAAACTCGATGCTATCGGGAACCCTCAGCGGCTTAATATACGGGCCTGAAAAAAATTACCAAGACCATTTTGGGGGATCCTTATTATCGGTACAGTATAACGGGGCCCAAAACCTTATTCTAATTATTAAGGCCTCTATATTATAAACCTAAACCCTATGCCATCAGCCCCGACCCGGACCTTCTGGTGCCTAGCAGTGAGGACCAAATTTGCAACTGTCAAGGCAAGGGGCTTATTGAGTCGGTTTAGAGTTTAGGGCTTTAGGGTTTAGGGTTTATCACCCAACTGGCTCTACTCAGTCGATTTAAGGCTTAGGATTTCTAGTTTAAAGTTCAGGGTTATCACCCAACTGGGGCATATCTGCAATTTACTTCGCCTGTGTTTCAATGAGGTTCAGGGTTCGAGGTGACTCCGTGCTACCTTCCATGCTCGTAAACCTTCTCAAAGCCAAACTCCTTTCAGATTTTCAAGGTCCCCACGGGATGAACCAAGCCCTAGATCCTGAACTTTGAAGCCTTCACCCTAAACCCTAAACCCTAAACCCAAACCCTAAACCTGAACTTTGAAGCCTAAATCATGAGCCTGCATCTCAGCACAGAAACGACGCAATTCGAAGCATAGGCCGGATGTAGGTCCCAGTGGTTTAGGGAGACAGCTAGGGCTAGGGCTTTGGGGTATCTGGCTTTGGAGGTGGAGGCGGAGATGTTGGAGCTGTAAACCTTCCATCTGTACTTCAAAGCTCCTCAACCAATCCATTACACCAGACTTCCCCCGGCCCTAAACCCTAAACCCTAAACCCCGAAGACTCCGTTGGGGGTGCGGAGTCTGAGGCAGCCCACCTGTCATCCATCTCATGCCACTGCGCCTGAAAGACGCATGGAACTTCAGGTTTTTGAAAGAAGAAGCCCCATAGCTGTTCGGGGTTTAGGGTTTAGGGCTCAGGGCTTCGGGTTTCTGGGGCCTAGGGTCACGATGAGAAGGATGCTACGGACAAAAAGAACCATAACTGAGAAGTCTCCCGTTTCTGCACCTGATCTCAGGTTTAAGGCTTTTGAACCTTGACTCAACTAGCAAAGTTTAAGGTCTAGGGCTTAGGACGTTATAAGGTGTTGGGGTATTACGTCAGGTCGAGCGTTCAGGGCATGACAACTTTGAATGTGGAACAATTACTTGTCAACTGTACGAGGAGTGTACCAAAAACAAACTATATACCACAATCACGTCCACCTGGGGTTGAGCGTGCACGCAAGTATTCCGCATCCTCCGAAATGACTTTCTGAAGCAGTTTGATCGAACCCCAACTCGTGTAGTATCCCAGAAGTGTATCCCAGCCCCTCCACTTCGGTTTGCATGGGAAGCCAAGTAATATCGGAGCCTCCTTAATGATTAGAAGAAGGTTTGGGGTATATACAACTATAATCATAATAAGGAGCCCCGCAAAATTTAGGAACTTCGGGCCGAATTCGATAGCCCCAGTCGCATCCCTGACCCCCTGCAGGTGCTTTGCAAGGTCGCCCCGGATCTCCGAACTCAAGAGCCTTCAAGCGCTAAGCCGAACCCGAACCGAAATATCATATCGGTTTAGGGTTTAGGTTTTAGGGTCCTAATGTCATAATCTCACCTGATAACAATCGGTATCCTAATGATCGGTTTAGGGTTTAGGGTGTAGGGTCCTACTGCCCTAATCTCACCTGATAACAATCGGGAATGCCCGGACACCCTTCCTTCAAGAAGCCCCGAAACCTCAGGCCTGCGAAAAGCGACAGAGGGGCGGGTAGACATCCGGCCTCGACTACTCGGAAGTGTTGGGCCCCTCACCTTCAGAACTAAAGGACCCAAGCGTGTGATATGGACCCCTAAGCAAGCCCCCCCCCCTCTGGTTTCTGAAACCCCCCGAATCTTATGGGCCTGCAGGCCTGCTAGGCTCCCTCAAGGCTCGTAGGATTGCGAATAACTTTGCCGATTTGGGAGTTTCCGAAAATAGGGGCCCCTAAGAAAGTACCCTGAATAGTAGAGTCCTTATTATAAGGACCCCAAAATAAGGCACCACTAATTTTCGGAAACCCCCATTTTGAAGAAGCTCAAGGGTCTTTTGGCGAGGCAGCTCAGTCGCATCGGCCTCTGGCGCTTGATCCCTGGTTTGTTCGGGCTTGTGGCTCAGGGCTGCTGCCACCTACGGTGCGCTGTGCGTGCTGCTGGATGATAGACGAGCACACTTGACAAGCCACACGATCTGCCAACCCCTGGGATATAGGGTTTAGGTTAGAAGCCCTGTAATAGTGGTATAATAGGAATATAATAGGGCCCTAATATAACCCTTATAGCACACACAGCTTGCACGCCCGGGCTCAGCAGCAATATAACCCTTATAGTCACTATTACAGGGTGGGGGGCAGCTTCTAGGGTTTAGGGTTCCAGACAAAGCACACTGAAACTCGGGGGCCCGGCGAAGAAAGCCCCCAGCCCCAAATTCCCAAGCCGGAAGATAGAACACCCTTCGCCCGAACCTCCCTTCCTAAACCCTAAGCCCTAAACCCTGAACCCTAAACCCTAAACCCTAAACCCTAAATCCTAAACCCTGCACCCTAAACCCTGAACCCTAAACCCTGAGCCCCAAACCCTAAACCCTGAACCCTAAACCCTAAGATGCTTAAAGCCTCGATCCGAGGCTCGGACCCGAACCCCTCAACGCCGTCACCATCCTGATCCTGAGGCCCAAACCCCCTAGACCTTCCAAAATCCCTTAATTAAGGAATATACCTTAAATCATATTAGGGATCCGACTATAATTTACGGTACATTCCTTAATTAAGGGATTTTGGATTGTCTGGGCCCTAACCTGCACAAAGAATGGACTAAAGAAAAGACCCCAAATCCACAACCCCATGACCACAGGCCCCGTAACTCTACGCTATAATACAAGAATGAAACAAAGACTAAATCCTCGAGCCTACACCACAAATCGGAAGCCCTAAACCCCAAACCCTATGGCTACCTTATGGGTACCAGTCAGCTGGCCTTGGCTTCGCATCCGGCGGCAGGTCGCACTCAGCTCGGCTGCTAATGCCGTGATGGAGCCGCTCCTTTTTTGGTAGTAGCCAGTACGAATATTATATGGGTTTAGGGCTTAAGGTTTAAATGTGAAGAGCAATCATCATCATAACACAAGTTCCCACAAACAGCAGTCCTGCTCCAAGTACAGCTCCCGCAAGAAGGAGCTGCCATACCAAACTGTCGGTGGCATTCCGTTCCCGCTTTCCCAGCGCAGACGCTTGAGAGAGCTGTTCCACTTCCTGGGATATTGTTACAGAATTTAGCTTAAGTTGCCCCTGGTATTTACTGTATAGGTCCCTTACTACGTTACTACGTTAGCTGAACACTAAACCCTAAACCCTAAACCCAAACCCTAAACCCTAAACCGCACAAAAACCCAGCTTCCTCAACGTCGAATCCTGCCAGATCCAGTGGCCACGAAGCTCCAGCCAGCGGCCCCTTTCCTAGTTCATTGTTGGGATAGTATTAAAAAGGTACATTTTCCTTATTGGGTTTAAGTACACTTTTATTCCTTATTGGGTTTAAGTATCCATAAAAATGTAAAAAGTTTCCCAACTGCGACAAAGTTTCTGCGTTTAAGATGGGCGCCAAAAAGCTTTGGAGCTTGGAAGACAGATTCCTGGGGTTCTTGTGAAGGGAGTTTAATTTAGGGTGCCATAATAGGGATGTATAGAACCTATAGTTAATAATAGGGCTTCTATTTTTATGGTAGCTTAATTAAATGAAACTCCCTAACAAGAGCCCAGATTCTTGAGACGGGATACAGTCCCGTTCTTTGCAGCAACGAGAGCCTCCGTCGTGTTGTGGCTTTCGATTCCTTTCCGCTGTATGAAGTTCCTTCCCTGCTCTTGCTTTAACTGCGACGCCGCCGTTCCTATACTGAACTTAGAACCCTAGCAAAAATTATAATTTTAGCTGTTTCTTCGGGATTATCAAAAATTGTAAAATCTTTCTAAGTGCCCCTAAAGTTCCGTTCCAAAGCGGCGTAGCTTCGTGGCTTGAGGCCGCTGTCCGCTCAGCTTTTGGGACCCTCTGTGGTCCGAAATCCAGCGTCCCATTGCCTTATGGGTTCGGGGTTAAGTAATGATTAGAATAGGGTTTGGGGCCCACTCCACTATCACCAACATGGTATAGGTAGTTATGGTTTAGGGCGGTTTCCTGCTAACTCACATCAGGTGTCCTGATCACGGTATCTTAAAGAGAGACTTTGGGCTGAGAGTTTAGGGTTCAGGGTTTCAACCCAACCTCGTTGGTCGAAGGCCCTGTTCCGACCCAGCAGGATCCCAAGAGAGGAGCGCAAGCCTCCATGGAAGCTCAAGGCAACCAAAAGCCCTGCACAGACCAAGACTACCTCACCAAAGCGACGGTAGCGGGTCAGCTCCATCAAGAGCGGGCCCAGAGACTCCAATATCCCTTAATTAAGGAATATTCCTTAAATCATATATTAGGGATCCTACTATCATTTAGGATATATTCCTTAATTAAGGGGTTTTGGAGTCTCCATCAAAAGCGGGGTTAAAGGGGTTGGGGCTCCGAGTTCAGGGTTTCTTGTTTAGGTTCCGAGCTCAGCCTTTCTTCTTTAGGTTCCCGGTATCAAGGTTCGAGTGTTCACGGCTTCAAGTTTGGGGTGGAAGGGTTGTGGCTGAAGGGTTCGGAGCCGCCGTAGCCTTCAAAGTGCGGGAATTTGAGGATTTAAGGTTTAAGGATTTATGGTTTGGCGTTCAGGGTTTAGGGTTTAGGGTTTAGGGCTGGCTTGGGGCTTCAGGGCTTGAGGTCTCGAGCCTGATGTTCAAAATCGGCGATGGATGTATGGGTTCTCGGACGATCGAATCAGCAACAGCCGCTGCCCCACCCCAAACCCTCAACCTGAAACAGAAAAGATCCCATAGTTAAACCTATACCCAAAACCCTAAACCCGAAACCCTACAGCCCTAAACCCCAAGCCTATGCCCCAATAGCCGCCCGGCGAGAGGCATCCCTTCTTCTTGATCAGCGGCACATGTAAATTCTTTCTTGGGGCTTGGGCTTGAGGTTTAGGGTTTAGGGCCTCGGTTACAGAGATCAGGTCAGTTCAAGGTTTGGGGCTGTTACAGCCACCATGTGCAGAGACCGCCCGCGATTCATCCCTCAAAACACTCCCTACAATAGTTCCTGTAAGGGCCCTGCAAGGAAAGCAACGCTCCACACCTTCTAAGGGCCTCAATGATGAAAACATACAATTAATATGCGTTTTAGGTACTTCTTTTGAAGTCGGAACTCAAGAGTTACTGCGCAACTTTTTCCGAGCACACAGTCGTCTCTCAGACATGCGCAAGTCCCCCATCTCTGCGCAGCACGCGACTTGCCTGTGAATGGTAGAGGTACCTCTGGAAGACCACAAGGGAAACGAATGATGATCCTAACTTCCCACCTGGGTTGAGGAAGAGTTGGGCCACAGCGAACCCAGAGGCTCCAAGCTCCCCCCTTTTCGGGGCTTAAGGCTTGTTTTGGGGGTTTCGGGTTTTAGGATTTAGGCTTCTAGAAGCTTAAAGGTCTTTAGCGATTTTGGGGCTTTAGTCAATCTTATTTTCTGATTAAGACTCATGGTGGTTTTCCGGACTCCTACAGTTCTCTCCTTTTTAGGAGGTTGAGAGGAAGAGGAAGCACTATCCTTAGGCTGATCCCACTCTTCGTCGTCCGGAGCGTCGGGGTCTTTAATCATGAGAGGCTTTTGCCTCTTTCTGTTCCAACGGCTTACGAAGATCCTTTCCTTGACCTCCTCTTTCATGGCTGCATTGACCCTTGATTGGGCAAACACATGCTTTTGGTTTTCCTTGAGCCGAGCGTTGATACGCTCACGCTCCTCGAGGAGATCTTCGTCGTCAGCAGGTTCCTCGTAATCGAGGTTCAATTTACTCCGATTGACTCTGAAATAACCACCGCTTTCGGGATCGAAAAGAACCACGAACTTATCCTTCTCCTTTTTAGGAGTTTTCGGTTTTTCAGGTTCTTCGTCTGAGCTCGGGATGAACTCAGCTTCTGTCATGAGTGAGTCAAGGCTGACCTTGCTCATTCCGTCTGCGAGTTCCTCAGATGGTATCTTCTTTTTGGTCTTCTTAGAGTACTGTGCAGGCTCCGAGGAAGCAGCTTCCCCAGGTGGTGCCGGATTGACATCCACTCTGAGTTCTGAAGAAGAAGAGGATGAGCTCGACTTCTCTGAATCGGATTCATCGTCTGAGTCATCATCTTCATCCTGGTGAGGATCTGGTTCTTCGGGCTCTGTCTCTGCGGAAGATGATTCTTCCTTAGGAGGAACTACGTTCTCAGCGGTATCCTGGATAGGATCTGGAGGTTTGTGAGAGGTAGTTGTTGTAAGAACTTCTGCAGCACTGGCAGAACCGTCTGCATTCCAGAGCTTGCCCATAAGGCTGTTTGGGTTCTTATCTGCTTCAGCTTTTCTTGCAAGTTTGGATCTGGGATGGAGTTCTACTGACGCAGAAGCCTCCTCCATAGTTGTCTCCGTTTTCGGAGGTACTTCACTTGCGGAAAAGGGATGCTCCGTGTTCGGAGTTCTGTCATCTCCGGTCAGCGGAAGAGAGAAAGACTTCTTGTGAGAAGATCTCGCCTTAGGTGGTTCAGGCGGTTGTCTTCGCCCTGCCATTTTTAGCAGTTGGGCTTCCAGATTCTTCCCATGGTTGTCACACCACTTTTTCGACATGTGTGTCAATGAGGGCATTTCTTCGTTACAATGGTCGGCCCACCAGGCTCTAACCCTTTTGAGTTCTTCGTACTGTTCAGACACCCGCAGTTGCTCTGTTGGTGCAAACATGGCGCTGATGGTGTGGGCCTGTACCACATCCGGAGTGGAGAACATTCCACCCTCGGAACGCCACAGGTTAGTTACAGCGTTCGCCACATTGTTGGCGTCGAACACAAGTAACAGTGGCTTATTGCGCCTTAATCCGATTGGATTTGGCTTTTCGAGGTTCAAGAGAGTGAATTGAACACTATCCCGGTTGGGACGACCGTTCTCAGTGACAAGAGCTTGATAGCTCTGTGAGGTGACCACCTTCTTCAGAAGGGCTGAAGGAACAAGACCATGTCTCAAAATTGGCGCGAGGGCCTCAAGGTCCGTGGCGTGCATGATGTAACACCGTACGTCCTGTTGGACGTAATCCTTCATTCCTGTAGGCCTCGGTGCATTCGTGGATTGCCGTTGTGCATGTGATTGCACTGGGGTGATCCCCGATGCCATAAAGTCGCCTACGGTCATTTGTGACCTTGGCCTATGCTCCTCCGGATCTGGTTCGTCTTCTCTTGATAGAGATTGTCTTTCACTGTGTCCTCCGGTTGCGGAGAGGTAGATCTTGGTCATTGCTGACACGTCTGCATCCTGAGGGATGGTAAGACCGGGTTCGGTCGTGATCGTACGTCCATTCCGGATGTAGTCCATCACGACCACAAACCTGCTCTTTGTGTTCAAGATAACTCCCAGCGCCATTTCTTGTGGTGAGTACTTGGCTAGCTGGTTTTCGGCAAGGACGTCCAGAGGCAAGAGGTAGTTGTGACTACCTACGAATAGATGCGGCCTTTCCTTGGAAAGATGTCTGGTCAAATGTGCCATCCATCTGCCAATTTGGTTGGTCTTGGCCAGAATGTGAAAACACATCTCTCTGGAGAGTCCTGTCGTTTGTACCAGGTTTGGTACTGAATGTTCGTAGTGATATTCTCCGGAACCAGTGAGTACGACACTGTCTCTTACCTCCTGTGGGAGGCCTGCCTGGAGATGATAAGCGCACATCCTGGCAAAATCCTTCGGATCTTGCGCATGCACATGTGCATTTTGGTTCCAGTAGATCAGTGGACTGCAATCCCATGGTCCTCGCAGGACTCCTTGGTACATCTCTATTCCATTTTTGGAATATAGATTGAGCTTTGCTCCTTTTGCATGTCCCTGACGGGATATCATGAATGATAGATCCCTCGAAGACGGGTTCACGATGCGCTCCTGGCCGATAAAGATAACGGCTGGCTGCTTATCGTGTTTATATACCAGGTGCTCACCGTGGTCGGTGCGTCTCGACGCCTGTTGGCGTGACTCTGGAAACGGCAGATCCATGTGTGGATGTCTGCCGTGGTGTGCTGCTACAGCGCCTGGTAAGGCGTGACCATGACGCGAATTGAAATTCGACCTCGTAGCCATACTGGCCCTGAGATCAAAAGTGTGGCACGAAGGCTGAGTAAGCTGTGAAGGCTGTAACTGTAAGTTGCGCGGCTCGAAGCTGAAAATGGCTGCGGAATATGAAGAACATAGATTGCTCATGCACATGTATGCGCAACAGAAAACGCAGCATGCAGACACAGATTTTCTTTTAGACGAAAAGTAGTCTAAGAAGAAAATCCAGCACATGATTGTGCGGTACATAGCTTTGATTACCACCATATTCCTTGGCAATAAAATATTTTGTATATCTCTGTTGAGATATCAATTCCGAGGAAAGCTACCGCTGTTGCGGCATTCTTCAAGTGATCAATGATCCACCTGACAGTAAAAGCCTTGGGCTGTAGCAACTCTCGAAACGGTGGATGTATGTCAGTTTCGGGAAGATTCCCTGTTTCTAGAGCCTTGATAAGCTCATCAGGTTGTGCTGAGTGTTTCGTAAGGGCGTCTGCAAGACAATATTTCGAACTGACGTGGGCCAAATCATCCAAGGAACCAGAGTTCGACGCCTTTCTAAGCATCTGAATAAGATGGTGAGCTTCCTTTTGTTCTGGAAGATGAGTTGCGCCCGCAGGAGTGACTAAATTGTTTGCATCCGTTCTGATATGTATGGGCACTGTCTCTGATGAGAGATCTGCCCAAAGTCCCTTGAGAAACAAACAGGTACCGAAGCAACGCATGAGTGCGTTTAGCTCTGCCACTGTAGTGGACATTGTCGTTGTGGTAATCTTGTGAGATTCGTAATCCACCAGGCTACCTCGTGAGGATGTTTCCTTAATGGAAGATTCAGAAAATCATTCTTCTTGGAAGAAGCTGCTGCGGCTGACTGTTTCATGCCCTTCAGCTTCGGATTGCATTCTTCAGCAAGAAAAATGACATGAGCTCTCTGTGATGATTTATCATCATTGTTCCTATAGGAAGCATCCGGATAACCTAGAATGCGAAGGTTTCCTTTCAGTGGCCAGAAACGCAATTCTACTTCGGTGGCCTTGAGAACGCGAACAAGTTTGTTCAGTTCTCTTATGTCACCTATTGTTGGTTTAGCAGCCTTGCTTGCACACCTGCTGAAACGGTAACAAATGTGGGCTTGGGTCCGGCTTTGTAGCCAGTTGATCTGTCCAAGAACACTTCGATATGCAGTGTGCTGCTGTGGAGTACATGGCTGCTCATTGTTGAGCTTCTTA